TGTGTGTGTGTGTGTAAGGTTAGAATTACAAGTGAAGATTTAGTTGACGTACCTGGGTGTAGATGGGTGTTGTTAGGAGTTAGTGGGTGTACATCATTGCTGGTAACAATAACACTCTCCCTAGAATTGTGTGTGTGTCGTGCTCAATCACCAGGTGTACGAAACACGCCCTGGGTCGAGCGCTACGAAACATCCCCAGAATACATTCACCTCAACCACGGCAATTCCTCAAGTGTGTCGTTAGGTATTTCACCGGAAACTCTTCGATTCGTGTAAACTATATTCTGTGCAAGAAAGTCCCTGATTCGCGCGTGAATTGTTGTTGATGTAAGGTGTGTGACCGTCACTTGTTTGTGGAGGTATGTGGAGGTTGTAGTAATTGTGGTTGTTTGCGTGCTGACAAGATTGGGCGGAGTGTGGGTCTCGGCGCCTCCTCTCATGGACACACACACACACTATACTTGTGGTTTTCTCTCACTGAAGGCGTTTATTTACCCACAACGGTCTACTGTAAACACCTTTATTACTCTAGTCTATTTATGTCATTCGGTTTAAAGGTTACCTGTTAAGGTTACCTACCACTGTTACCTGTCACTGTTACCTACCATTGTTCTCTGTCACTTCTACATACCACTGTTACCTGTCATACTTCTACCTATCGCTGTTACCTATCACTGCTACTTATCGCCGTTACCTACCACTGTTACCTGTCACTGTTACCTGCCACTTCTACCTACCACTGTTACCTACCACTGTTACCTGTCACTGTTACCTACCATTGTTCTCTGCCACTTCTACATACCACTGTTACCTGTCATACTTCTACCTATCGCTGTTACCTATCACTGCTACTTATCGCCGTTACCTACCACTGTTACCTGTCACTGTTACCTGCCACTTCTACCTACCACTGTTACCTCCCACTGTCACCGGCCTCTAGCCTCCCCCATACATATAGGAAGATCAGGACAGACGGCGGGGTTGCAATCCATGTCAGGGATAACTTGATGTGCTATAACAAAGGAGAAATTAAAAGTGAATTAGATATAGAAACAGTGTAGAAAGAATTAACCGATAGTAGGGATAAAGTGGTCATAGGAGTAATTTGAGTAGAGTTGAAGGGCAACTTATTTGGGATGAAATACGAAGGGCATCCAGACTTTACGGGCAACCCCGAATCTGAGGATTTCCTTGAAACAGTTCAGCAGTGTTTCCTTAATCAACACGTAGCTGAAACAATCCGGGGGAATAGTATACTAGATTTAGTTTTGTCAAACAAAGAAAATCTCATTACTAATGTGGACGTAGGGAGTAAACTAGCTGACAGCGACCACGAGAAAGTGAGATTCAAGCTAACACTTAAAAGTTAGTCATAGGGAAAATCCCATTGACGTTCCAAATTTCTGCAGGTTTGAAATTTTAGCGGGGTTTATTTTGAATGTACCAGACTAAAATCGTGACATGATTGGATCGATGCAGTCTGATACCGGTGAGCTATTTGTTAATGAGGGAGAATGAGCAATATTCTGATCAAAAATTTTCATCGGTTTTCACAAAGGTAAACTTAAACATGATACCCTCAGTAACCTACTATCTACAGAGATAGCGAAGAAAACAGATTGAGAGAGATAGAAGTGACCATCAACAATGGTCACGCTAAAGCCTAATAAGTCACCAGGTCCCGATATTTGCCAGAGTATTGAAGGAATGTAATGAAGAATATAGTTTACTTTTAGCAAACTTGTTCAATATGCCATAAGTTCGTGTATAGTAACAGTAACTTAGTGAATAGCGAATGTGACGCCAATAATTAAGAAGAGAGATAAATCACTTTCCTCTAATTCCCGTCCAATTAGTTTAACATCAATTGTAGACAAATTACAAACACAATTCGAAATCATCCCAAGAAACACAAATTGATTAATGGTTCTCAACCTGGCTACAACAGTGAGTGACAATTTAATATGAACAAAAATAACGCACACAGTAAGCTAATGCATTTTAAACAGGCTAATGTTTTAGTAGTGATATAAAGAACATCATAGTATTTACCAGCTGGTAGCAAAGTTGGCAGTGACACCACTTCTTCACAATTGTGCTCGCTAGTTTATTGATGACCAACGTTTTTATAGAAAAGTTCAGTACAGGGACATAACTACCAATATTTTGCAGGGGAAATTTAAGACTGTTTAGCTTCCAGGGGTCGGTGGTTCGATTGTTAGGCGCTCCCAGTTCACCCACCTGTAAACGGGTACCTAAGTTTACAACTTGGGGATGTGAAAGGAATCGAGTGTCGTACTGTACCACACTGTCCCTAACGGATAGTCATGCCTAGGGGACCCAATTTCACCCTTTTCACCAATTTTCCACAAATTAACAAAATTATTACTAGATATAATTCACACAAAGATTACAACAAAAATATGTACGATTTAAAATCAAAAACTTTATATACACTACTTCACGATTCAAGGAACTAGTAGCGCAGTTTATAATACAAAATATTATATGAGTGTGAGTCGTTATAAGGTATATGACCACTTGGTTCTCTGTTTTAAATTTCACATTGAGGAAATATGTAGAACCCCAACAAATGTCCATCACTTATGAGAGGGTCCAATGGGTCTCGGTACCTCCTTTCACGTCACAAAGCTTGGTCGTTTAAACATACTGTACATCGATTAACGCCATCTTTAATAATCATTAACAAAGCATCAATCACATCATTACCACAACACACCACCACCACCGCAATTTATCACAATAAAACCACAATACACTAACACCACAACACCACCACGACACAGTATAACAACACCATAACACAACACAACACCATAACACAACACAACACCACATCACCACGACACACTATACCACATCTCAGCACCACATCACCACCACAACGCAGTATATCACGCCACACCACTATACCACAGTATTCCACACCACATCACCACTACGACACACTATACCACATCACCACTATAACACAGTATACCACACCACAACACATCACTACCACCATCTGTGAGTGAATTACTACACCACGTCAGGCCCCTCATAACACCATCTGTAAGGGAATTCGTACACCACGTGAGGTCCCTCATTACACCATCTGTGAGGGAACTACTGCACCACGTGAGGTCCCCCTAACACCATCTGGGAAGGAGTTACTACACTTCGTGTTTGCTGTTCAACACCTACATTAATCTGTATGTTCACTGTATGTTCCTTTACCTTTATCTAATGAAGGCTTTTGTTAAACCACCAATGTAGGTAATAAGTCATTTATGTCCAATGTATATTTTCAGCCTTCGGGCTGCAGAACTTTTTTAATAAACCGTTAATTATTATTATTATTATTAGAATTAGTATTATTATTATTATTATTATTATTATTATTATTACGACACGCTATATCATACCACATCACCACGACACACTATACCACATCAAAATACCACATCACCGCAACGACACAGTATATCACACCACAACACCACATCACCACGACACACTATACCACATCACCACTACTACACAGTATACCACACCACAACACCACATCACTACAACACAGTATACCATTGCAACTTAGTATTAACACCCAATACACATTTTCTATATTCTCCACGTGAACTGACCGTCATTATTACGGCATCACTTACAACATCACCACCGGGACGCTCAACAACGGCTGAGAGAGAAATTCTGGTGTATAACCGCTCCCACGAACCCGCAACCGATACAATACTGAACCACATTAAATACATGTTAGTTTATGTGTAAGTCATGTTAACTATAATAATTTAAGTCAGTTTACTGCACTAAATATATATCAGCTTATGTGTGAGTCATGTTTACTGCACGAAATATGTCAGTTTTTGTATGAGTCATGTTTTCTTGCACTAAATATATGCCAGTTTATGTGAGTCATGTTTACTGCACTAAATATGTCAGTTTATGTTAGTCATGTTTACTGCATTAAGTATTTGTCCACGCTGATGTTTCTTTCAACTGGATAGTGTTTTGTTCCTTGCATACAGTTGTTTGTGCTGGTGTCAAGATTCTGTTGTGCGTATCTCTTTATTTGAGTTCTGGGTAATTGGGAAGTACTTAACCTAACCTAATGTAGTCAAATCTAACTCTCAGTGGCACGGTGACATACCTTAACCTCCCGTACAGTGTCAGCTACTGTGATATATATATATATATATATATATATATATATATATATATATATATATATATATATATATATATATATATATATATATATATTAGTGATTTCCTATTTTTCATCACTGTATATTAATATCTCATATACATAGTATAACTAACCTAACCTAAACTAACTTTATTTAACATAACTTAACCTATCATTATTAATGTCTCTCCATCTGTCTCGGTTACGATTACTTTGGCAGTTTATGTCTCTTCGTTACAAGATTCTCTCCATATCTATGAATGTCGACTGACTCAATAGTGTGTGTGTGTGTGTGTAAAAAAAAAAATAATAATAATAATAATAATAAACGGTTTATTGAAAGAGCATGGCAGCCGGAAGGGTGAAAATATAGTTACATAATTGGGGAATGGGTCACTTGATTTACAAATAATATACAAGTAACATAAGTGATACAAATATGATATATAATAACTAAGTGGGGAGAAGGTTATACTACAGGGCATTTAAACATAGTGTGTCTGTGTGTGTGTGTGTGTGTGTGTGTGTGTGTGTGTGTGTGTGCTCCCAGAATGAATCAGTTTGGGAACTGAGGTATGTCATACACATTCTGATCGTTGTGGTCTACTGGAGGCATGCACACTGACTCTCACACACGCACACACTTGCAAAATACTAAATAATATGGTCACCAGAAAGTAACTCGCCTGTCCTACACGATGATGATGGTTGAAGCAATACGACTTTCGGTTTCGTTTATGTGGAGAAGGTCAGACTTACCGCCGCGCGAGGCTCGTGGTGGTGGACTACTGTATATATACAGTATATATTGCACGAGACGGTCACCAGCCTGTCACTTGTAAACAGTTGTTGGTCTTGGTAGGTCGTTCTCCTCTACTGCTGCTGCTTATTCTGGTGAGTGAACATATATAGTAATAAACGTATGTAAGATATTCAACACACACACACACACACACACACACACACGATCATAGGTGTTTGGAAAATGACGTTTATGGCTTATATTTCTCTAAGTCATTATTCCCTTAACAGAGACACCAACGGAGACAACAAGGTCAATAACTACAGCGCAATATACATACGGAAGACAACATTTACATTATAAACTTATAAAACTACGTAAAGATATGTGTATGTGTGTGTGTGTGTGTGTGTGTGTGTGTGTGTGTGTGTGTGTGTGTGTGTGTGTGTGTGTGTGTGTGTGTATCAAAACCCTATACCCCCAAAAGTCCTGTGGCGACGGACCAGTGGGAACGGGGGTTTAAGAGATGACTGCCGGAAGTCTCTAGTCACAACTCTGCATAGGGCGGTATATATAAGATGGTCGGTTATGCACTGGGATCTTACAGTACGCAGAAGTGCAATCCGGTCCTGTCTATGCAACTGAGCAGCTCCCACACGATGGTCGACTAACAGAACGGAGTTCTTGCTATACCTTCTTTTGAAAAGGCAAGACTGCTGCAGAGATAAACCGCATTTATGGAGTTGGCTTTGCCATCCGTTAATGCATCCTACATAGGCTAACTGAAATGCCTGTTGGGATGAACGAGCGCCCCATGACGCTTCGAGTCTCACTGAATCACTCGAGCCAGGCCGTCTTCATCAGTGCATACGCCCAAACACAGTATGCAGAGGATGACATCAAGGAGGCCTTTTATGCCAACCTTAGCAGAGTGCTAACTTCTATCCCCAAAGAAGATAAGGTTGCGCTCCTAGGTGACTTCAATGCCAGAGTTGGCAGAGATGCTGATTTTGGGTAGGGAATCATAGGAGAATCGAATTAGGCAAGAATCCCAATGGCCTACTCCAACTCAGCAAGTGTGCTGCACACAACCTCACTATTACCAACGCTTTGTTTATGCAGGCCAACAAGTTCAAGGGTTCGTGGCAACACCTACGATCCAAACACTGGCATCTCATTAACTACATTATTATCGGAGAAAGAAATCGCGGAGATGTCCTCATCACCAAAGCCATACGTGGCTCAGACCACTGCGACACTGATCATCGGCTCCCTCAGAGCCAAGCTCTCACTTTACGTCGCCCCAAAACGGCGAAGGCAACAAGCCTCCAGAAGAGGTTTTAACTTTAACCGTCTGGATGATCGAGCGGTACCAAATGCTTTCAAAGAGCAGCTCAAACATTGACTGATAAACAACTCGACAACAAACAACCCAAATCCCAGTGCTGAATGGGGTATTCTCGACACTGTCATGACAAAAACCTGCGGAGAGACACTCGGCCAGATTGAAAGAAGACACCAGAACTGGTTTGATGAAAATGACCCGGAAATCAATGTACACGTCTATGACAAACGTGCTGCTTTAACTGACTGGCAGAACACCCTTAGTCTAGAACCATATCTGATACCTTCCGCAAGAAGAAAGTGGCGGTCCAGCGTGAATTTCGCAATCTTGCTGCTCAATAGAAAAACTGATGTGAATGTCTTGACTACCCAACAGGTCCCTCAGCATCCAGAGCTGACCCACCTCAGCTATTCTCCATCCCTGGATGAGATAGCTACTGCCATCAAATAGATGAAAAATAACAAAGCCTCAGGACCTGATGGAATCCCAACCGAAGTGTATAAAGCAGGATGACCTCTGCTTACCAGCCGTCTACACTCTCTCCTGGAGAATATGTGGAAAAAGGAGGAAATTCCCCAAATTCTTAAAGACCTCTCCATCGTCAATATTTATAAGTACAAGGGGGACCGGTCAGACTGTGGCAACTACCATGGGATCTCACTGCTGTGGCAGATTGTCGCCCGAGTCCTAAACAGACTTCTTTCTGAGGTGGAAAACTTCCTACCAGAATCTCAATGTGTGTTTAAACCATCACGTGGCACCACTGAAATGATCTTTGCTGCCCGCCAGACACAGAAAAAATGCAGATAACAGTGTCGTGACCTGTATATGGCCTTCATCGACCTAACCGAGGCCTTCAACTCGGCCAACAGGGAAGCATTCTGGCAGACCATCAGCCGTTTTGGCTGCCCACCAAAATTCATTGCCATTGTAAGGCAACTCCACGATGGCATGAACTGCAGTGTCCTGCACAATGGCAGCCAGTCTGAGTTCTTCCGCATCCAAACGGGGGTAAAACAAGGATGTGTACTGACACCAACTCATTTTTCCAGTGCCAATTTAGCCGGCAGGGTGGACATCCAGTGCTGTATGAAGGATCTTTTTAACATAAGACGACACCAGGCAGGAACAAAGGTGTCGGCAGCTTGCATTACTTAACTTCGGTGTGCAGACGACCCAACCATTGTCGCTCACACTGAACGCAACCTACAGGGGATCCTGAACACCTATACACAGATGCATATGCACACTTCGGCCTTGAGGTGAATGCACGAAAGACTCAGATTCTCATTCAACCTGCCCCTGGTTCAGCCACACCTCCACCATCCATCCAGCTTAACGGTACTACACTCTCTAATGTTGCCCACTTCAATTATTTTGGCTCCCACCTGTCCACCACCGCGGACATCAATGAAGAGATTCAACATCGGATCAGATGTGCATCTCAAACCTTTGGCAGACTCCATACCCGTGTTCTCAGCTGTAGAGCGATGATATTATTTACAAAGTTGCACGTATATCGAGCAGTGGTCCTCCCCACCCTGCTATATGGCAGCGAGACATGAGTCACATACAGGAGGCACCTCAAGACTCTTGATAACTTTTACCAACGTAGTCTACGTTCCATCCTCCGAGTTCGCTGGGAAGACGAGAGAACAAATGCCAGTATTCTTGCTGACACCAACTGTAGGAGCATCCATGAACAACTACGTCGGACTGGCCATGTTACCCGTATGAATGACAGTAGACTGCCAAAACAGCTACTTAACAGTACAGTGACCCCTCGGTTAACGAACTCAATCCGTTCCAGAAGGTCGTTCGTTAACCGAAACCATTGTTTCAATGGGTTTTTGGGTAATTGGTTTCCAGCTCACCGAAAATGTCCTAAATTCAACAAAAATGGTAGAAAAGTTCACTTACTTTGAAGCGTGTATGTAGAAGGCTCCTGGATGATGATGATGATGATGGGATTTAGAATGGGGGTGGAGGAGAAGGAAGAAGAAAAGGCATTGGGGTGGAAGAGAAGTCACCCCATGGCGCCATTTCACCCATAAAATTTTAGCTCTCTTGGTGTAATTTAAGATTATTTTCTTTAAATCAACACTGCACTGCATTATATATTGTCAATATGTAAAATATATTTCAAAATGACCAATAATTTGCTTGGAAACACAGAAAAAAAGCGTTTAGTTGAAGAGAGTCTCAAGCAAGATGTTACCTCCAGTGAAAACAGAGAGAGACTAACGCCTGTTTGCTGTGTTAAGAGGCTGGATGCCGCGCATTAAACTAGTCACTTTTAAAATTATTGATATTTACTAAATTAGTAAGGAATTTAAGCACTAGAACCGATTAATGTATTGGCGGACTGATACTAAAGCTGGTTGCCCGGTCAGTGCAAGCGAAAACATGTTGAGGTCGGTTCGTAAGAAATTCGTTAACCGAATTGAAGATCCTTATGGAAGGCAGTTCGTTAACCGAAATTTCATTAACTGAGGCGTTCGTTAAACGAGGGGTCACTGTACATGAAAATTCACACAGGAAATATACTGTAATTGTAATCAAGGAACTAACTCTGCCTGTAAGTGTAGGAGGATTCACCAGTTACTATTGTCGGCCTTTCACTAGGATACACAATACTAGCTACCATCATCAGCTCCGTGGCCAACCTGCTGCTGGCTACTGTACTGCTAACCACACTACTCATCTCCAGACACTGCGTGGTCGTCTTGGTAGGCATGGTGTGTGGTAGTTAAATAATATGGTTCGATTATTGAACACCTAATTCACACTGCACAACCTACACGCTTTTGTAAGTGGGATCCTGAGAGTGTGTTCTGTCGATATATGATGCCTTACAGAGATAGATAAATAGATATTCTCTCAATAATTCGTCATAGAAGTTTACTTTAAAGAAACGTTTTCAAGCGATGCCACGTATAACAGTATATTATGAGGATTGCCAGGTATTGGGTCTTTAATCATAACACATTTTAAAGGGTGTTTTTGTTTTACACAATACACGTACCTGGACAGTGTTTTAAATATTACCTGGACAGTGTTTTAAATATTACTGGACAGTGTTTTAAACATTACCTGGACAGCTTCTTGATTTTGTCATGTAGGAGAAAACTGCCATGGCCGGTAAGCGTTATATGAAAACAATTAAACAACACGAGTATGGTGAAAGCTAATGGTTGGTAGTAAAATATTATTCCAAGATTCTCCAATGTGTATGAAGATCTTAGGGGGAATTCATTATGAAAAAGCATCAGACGAAAAAACTCCATGCTTCATTAATTTGTAAAAGTCCTCCAAAAATATTATAAGTTTTCTTGGTCAGTGTTAGGACTAGATATTTTATAACTAGTCGGACGTAGGTCAAGTGGAGGCTCAAACAGGCGTCACTTGGACCTCATTTTCAGTGTTGACCAAATGTCTATGTAGAAAGGTCAGCCAGAGTGGAAGTCAAGCCTCTTCTGCGTCAGCCAGGCAAGATCCGTGCCCGCACACTAAGCTTCTCCTTACCTTACAGAATTGTTACAACCACCTCCACACTTAATTTATTCCTTATTTGTTCATCTCTTTTATCTAGTAATCCGACCCATAACAATCAGTATTAGTATAAAAAATCCTAGCCACCCCGCTACATGTTTGGTTTTATTTCTTGGTGATTACAGTTAAATTGTTGAGATGCCTCATCCTAAGATAAGAAAAACAAAGAATTGCACCTCCCCCAAAAATACTGTTAAATTAGCAGTAAATTCAGCCGTTTCTTATCATTGTTAAACATTTAGAGCACTTGAACACCTGTGTTGCCTGTTCATAAAGGCGCAGGAAGGAAACTGAGGGGTTAAGCCAGGTTGAGCACAGGTGTACTACTGTACGTGACGTCACTGGTTGACCTGTCTACATAGACCTTTATGTTTACATTATTGCAATCATCCACCGTGACCATAGTCCCTACCCCACACAGTCACCATGGCAACTGTGGGCATCACGGTCGGTGCAGCTGGCCTCGCTACTGGTGCTGCTGCTGTTGCTGGTGCTGTGGCTCTAGGTGCTCTGGGAGCTGTGGGTGTTGCTCTTCTGCGTGGTAGAAGCCCATCACCTCCGAGGTACAGCCACCACAGGTACGGTCGTCAGGTGGAGAGCTCGCGTAAGGTGAAGGATTCGCGTAAGGTGAAGGATTCGCGTAAGGTGAAGGATTCACGCAAAGTGAAGGATTCGCGTAAGGACTCACAAGGGGAGCTGGAAGAGGCGCTTAATGCAATCCGGAAGACTGACGTGACCGGGTGTGGCCTGAGGCTGGTGTGTGATCTTGCCGCCCAGGACATTCTCACAGTAGAGGAGATGTCTATACTGCACGTCGTCGGGTAAGTGATCCCCTGTCACACACGTTGTATTGTAAAGTGGTTCACTCTCACACAGGGAGCGTCCATACCAAAACAACAATGTCAGTAATATATGTTGCCATGTAGACATAATTGTTGGCAGTATAGCGTTAGGAACTTTGTGGGCAACAGTATTATGTTTCAGACTTGTATCATATAAGCGTTCTCTAGATATAATCAGTGCTAATACCACAGAAACAATTAAACTTACTACGGAAGCCTGTACAGAAGATAAATACTTTCTCACTGGATGTTTCAGGCCGGCAGTGAATCCTGGGGAAAGGTTACCACCTCCTGGCACATCTGTGGACTACAAGCTAGCAAAGGCATTCGGGAGGGCAGGCGGGGACTGTGCCTACGCCTACCCCTCCTGCCCCTACAATGGCACCCAGCTCATGGGAATCGTCAGGGACTACTTGCCGTGAGCATTACGTACAGGAGCCAGGTTACTCCACCCCCCCCCTACCACCTATACCTCGCCACATACTCGTCTCGTCAACTTGTTCAGTGTTACCCTAAACGTCATCTTATGTAATTCAAAATCCCAACCTAAAGTTTAAGCTTTAGTAATATCATGTAAACAACTCAACTATTTTATGTGTGATTTAATAAGATAATAAACAATGTGTTTACAGTAAAATGTTAATTATCTTTTAAGAACATTAGCACATTAAGGTAACATAGTTGTGAGGTGGTAGGGTGGAGGTGTTGAGACGAGGGTGGAGGTGGTGGGGTGGAGGTGTTGAGACGAGGGTGGAGGTGGTGGGGTGGAGGTGTTGAGACGAGGGTGGAGGTGGTGGGGTGGAGATAGTGAAAAGGATAGGTCTTTCTGTCTTCTAAATCCACCTTGTTATAATATCACCTGACGTGATTCTATTAAGAGTACGTAATGATAATGTTAATATTATTTTATCAATAATAAATATTTATATTCATCAGTAGTTTTCTTCTTAATTTTATCATCATGTTTTACTGTTGCACAGCACGTTATCCTTACACTGTATAAAGCATCACTATCAAGACTCATTACCATCATGACATACCACCACCTTCATCCTTCATGAAAGACCATCACCATAATGACACCCTACCATTATTAAGATGTAAAGTACCACCACCATCACGCATATATATTATCATATATAAGCTTTGGGTAAAGTTCCCTTAACTTGGCATATATATAAATAAGTTGAGGGGTTAAGTTAGAAACCCAAAATGGTCTTTTCTCCATTTATTGGTAAAACTATATTGGTTACAGTCTATTAGTAGATGCACCGTAATTAACACTGTAAGCTGTGAGTGTTAGTTAAGGACAGGGCTCAGCTTGACTGAGTTAGGTCACCCGTCCGATTCTCGTGAGGCTCAAGTCAAGACTGCAGAGGAGGGAGGAATCGATGAGGAACAGGGATGGGCATGCATCGGTTATATCCAGAGGGAGGGTAGTGGAAGCAAGAGCACCAGCACAGAGCCAGGGGACAGCGGGACACCCCCCACCTGCTCTACCTCCCACCCAAGAGGAGGCAAGTGTCATGTAAACAATAACATCTCTAACCACACCCAACAAAATACAATGTATTTTGCAAATGCTGCAGCTGCTGAGAATGGAGCGAGGCCAGAACAAATTCCAGCTTGAAAGTCATGATAAGAGAGAGGAGTTTGAAACACTACTGAAGTTACATCAGCTTGATATAATAGGTGTTGTAGAACTGTTGTACAAGAACCGGAGAATCGACCCGGAGGAATGCAAGTTCAGTATAGATGGATAGGACTCATTTACGAACCTTTCTCATGCGACTTGCAAGAGGGGTGTGGTTATCTATGCTAGGCAAGACCTTAGAGCCAGCCAGGTGAAGGTGCAAGGAAAGGAAGTTTTTGAAGAATCAAAGTGGTGTAAAATTAAATTAAATTAAGGGGGAAGAGACTTACCTGTTGTCGGGTGTATCTACAGATCCCAAACTGTAGCTTATTAAATCAAAGGAACTTAAGCGCCTCAATAGACAATGCAATGGTGCTCAACCCTAGTCACCTCCTTGTCATGGGGGACTTTGACTATGACGACATCGACTGGAGAAATGAGACCATGGTAAATGACTCAAATAACCCTGCTACTCTTTTTGTAAAAACTCTGAGAGATAATTTTATGTTCCAGCATCTTAAAGACCTGACTCATTACAGAGGGAAGCAAACACCCAAGCCACTGGACCTCATCATAACAAACAAGGAGAGTATGGTGGCCAAACTGGAACACCAGTCACCAAATAACGTTGTCATTCAGATTTAACTGTGAATTGGTTCACGACAAAGCCAGGCCAAGGATCAAATATTACAATGGAAATTACGGAGGGATGAGGGAGGAGATGAGGGGTATCCACTAGCCTGACTCACTAAGGTATAAGAATGCAGACACTACGCTGAATATCATAGCCAGTAAAGTGAACCATTTGATCGATAAATATATACCCAAGACCAAACCCAGTGCCTCTAGGAATACAAGGAGACCACTACGCATGAACCATGCGGCGGTCGATAAAGTTAAGAAGAAAACTCAGAAATTTGAGATGTGGGTTAGGACTAACACTGGTCAGGACAGGAGAATATATGCCTGATCCAGGAACCAAGTTAAGTGAGAGTTTAGAAGGACTGAAAATGAGTTCCAGAGGCAGACTGCAAGCGAGGTCAAGTCAAACCCAAAGTCGAAATTAAAAACACAAGTAGGAGTATCGGACCAGAGGCTTAAAGAGGGTAGTTACGCAGATTCTGACCAGGACAAGGCAGAGGCAATGAATATAATCTTTTCCTCTGTGTTCACAAGAGAGGATGCAAACAATTTTCCTGCGTTTGAGGACAGACGGTTTGACACAGCACTGATCCACATTGTGTTCTCAGAAGAGGTTATACAAAATAAATTGTCAAAGCTAAAGCTTCATGAGAGTCCCAGCCCTGACATGGTGTATCCCAGAGTACTAAGAAAGTTGTGCAACTAGCTTGCTCAGCCCCTGAAGACGGTTTTCTGTGAATGCCTGGATGAGCAAAAGGTCCCCAGTGATTGGAACATGGCTTTTGAGTCCTATTTTCAAGAACAGTGATCAAGACTCCACAAATAATTATAGACCAGTGAGACTGACCAGCATAGTAAGTGAAATACTTGAGAGCATTATAAGAGATACCATGATGGAACACCTACTAGGAAACAACCTTGTAAAGGATTGCCGACACGGTTTTATGCAAGCGTCCTGGTGCGTTGTCAAGCAGCAACAAAATCTTGAATGGAACATTGTTGCTCACAGAATTTCTTCACGTCGGGAACGAAACAGTCATCAAACCAGGAGAGGGACAGAGTAGAGAACATCCACGCCTTACGTGCGGTCAGCCAGTGGACATTTAGCTTGGTCATGTCCATGTTCTTGTAGGGTTGTGGCTTGCGGGCTGTGTGGATCACCGATAACTTGAGTTTACAAGAACCGGAGGCATTGGTGGTAAAGAGGACGGTGATGCCCTCCTTCTGCAACTTCCGGCCCCGACACTTGCTGGCAGACTTGTCAACGAAAGTCTTGGAAGGTAGCTTTTTCCAAAACAGACCGGATTCGTCCATGTTGAACACCTGGTTGTCGGTGTACTGTCCTTCCTCCATAATCTCACGTAAGAACGGAGGAAGATCTCCAGCCGCCACAGGGTCAGCACTCGCTTCTTCACCACCAATGTTAATGTTGGTGATCTTGTTCCTCTTCTTAAACCTGCGCAACCACCCAGAGGAAGCATTGAAGGGTTTGGGCTCTGCAATTCCCATCTTACGTGACACAGCTGCGTACAGTTCACATGCGTACTCCTGAACTGAGCGCGTGTCGGCTGCCATGTTCCGTCTTGCCAGACGAATCAAGTAGCTCACAAGTAACTTCTCCGTCTTGAGAAGCACCTTTTTGTGGCAATACTTGATCATTGAAGCACCTGTAGACTTTGTGATGTTCATGTGTTCTTTTATCTTGGCTGCATCCTTCTTTGTCGTCCGGATTGTAGATTCGTTCACACCATGCTGGCGCGCCAAATCAACCTGTCTTGTTCCTTTCTCCAACTCTCGGATGATCTTGTACTTCACCTCGTAGCTTAGGGCACGTCGTATCTTCTTTGGCTTAGGGCGGCTGGGTCCAGGTAATGTAAGGTTTTTCTGTGGTGGTGGTAGTCCGGTGGCAGCCATTCTTATGGAATAATAGATACCGATATACACGGTGTAGCCGGGAGGAGTATAACTGACGCGGGTAGGTCAAGGAGCTTCATTGCTCCCGTGGCAGGGCACGTTATGTTACATTAAACCAATCACAGACAGCGGGGAGGGAAGTAAGGATGCGTGGCCCAATCACAGTCCGATATGTCATATAACGTCACCGATAACGCAACAAAGACATACACTGCGCAACCTACTAGAGCCGCTTACCCAACGTGGCGTAATGACGGGAGAGATGGCGGGAGGTTTGAATCCAAAAATGGCACGGTGCGAGATGACCGCCAGCCGTTCTCTTCGTATATGAGTAGACGCACCGCGTAAAGTGAACATTCCGGTTCTGGCGGGGTACCACGTAAATGTAGAAACGCGTAAAACTGAAACGCATAAAGCGGGGCATTACTGTATATAATATATTTTCTTAATAAATACAGAAAAGAGTTGGGTTTTCACTACTAAAAACCCTAAATACTTTTGTAGTGGATTTCTCCCCTACAAACGCTGTTTGTCGCTGCGTAGCCGACCCCGCGAATTCCACAGTGTGTGCCTCGTGGTCTAGGTCAACCAGCGCCGCCATACATCACGGAGCGGGGGTTACATGTCTTAGCCCATTAACCCCTCAAGAATCAATGGTTAAGAGCCAGTACAATAGTACAGTAAAATTACACCTGTATCCATTACTTTAATTTTGTAATTGTTAAAACAAATTAAGAATTTTAACTTTCTTTTACCTTATGACTGCAGGCTTGAGATGATGAAATTGGGTGGATGGATGGATAGTGGTGTGGCTGAACCAGGCGGCAGCCTGAAAGAGAATCTGAGTCTCACATACATTCACCTTAAGGCCGAAGTGTGTATAGGCATCTGCGGAGGCGTTCAGGATCTCCTGAGGGTCGCGACAAGGGTGAGGTCGTCTGCATACTGAAGTTCAGTAATGGAAGCTGCCTACACCTTTGTTCCTGCCTGGAGTCTTCTTATGTTGAAAAGACTCTTCATCCAGTATTTGATGTTCACCCCACCAGGTAAATTGGCACTGGCACAAGTAAGGAAGGCAGCCAAGAAAATGGGAGAGAGTTAGTGCCAGTACACATCCTTGTTTTCCCCCATTTGGATAGGGAAGAAATCATACTAGGTGCCATTGTTCAGGACACTGCAGCTCACGCTATCGTGGAGTTGCCTCACAATGGCGATGAATTTTGGTGGGCAACCAAAACAGCTGAGGGTCCACCAGAGTCGAGGGCCTTGCTTAGGTCAATGAAGACCATGTCAAGGTCACACTGCTGTCCTCTGCATTTTTCCTGTATTTGGCGGGCAGCAAACATCATGTCAGTGGTGTCACGTGATGGTCTAAAGCCACATTGAGATTCTGGGAGGAAATTTTCCGCCACAAGAAGTCTGTTTAGGAGGACTCGGGATATAATCTTGCCAGCTACAGACAGCAGCAAGATCCTGCGGTAGTTGCCCCAGTCTGACCGGTCTCCCTTGTTCTTATAAATATTGACAATGGAGGCATCTTTAAGAGCTTGGGGGATTTCCTCCTTTTCCCATATATTCTCCAGGAGAGAGTGGAGACAGCTGGTAAGCAGAGGTCCTCCTACTTTATACACCCCTGCTAGGATTCCATCAGGCATGTTATTTTTCATGTTTGATGGCAGTAGCTACCTCATCCAGGGATGAAGGATAGCTGAGGTGGGTCAGCTCTGAGTGCTAAGGGACTTGCTGGGTAGTCAGGACATCCACATCGGTATTTTTGATTGAGCAGTGAATGGTAGTGCTCTTTCCAGCCCTGAAGGATGCCTTCTTCATCTTTAATTAAGGAGTTACAGTCAGATGAACAGAGGGGGGACTGCGCCAAGAGTGATTGGTCCATAAAGTGTTTTAATGGAATTGAAAAATTTGTGCATATTGTTTTGGTCTGTAAATTTTATGTTTCACATGCGTTATTTTTAAACCAGTCGTTCTTTAGATTGCGAAGTTCGCACTGTGCCACCGCTTCCTTCTTGCAGAAAGTATCAACTTTGGTCCGAACCTAAGGGTTGTTCTCCCAGTCAGTTAAAGCACTACATTTATCCTCAAGGAGTACACTGATTTCCGGGTCATTTTCATCAAACTAGTCCTGGTGTATTCTTTTGGCCTGGCCGAGGGTCTCTCCGCAGGTTTTTGTCATGACAGTGTCGAGAATATCCCATTCGGCACTGGGATTTGGGTTGTTTGTTGTTGGGTTGTTCATCAGCCCATGTTCGAGCTGCTCTCTGAAAGCATGTGCTACCACTGGATCCTCCAGATGATTAGTGTTAAAACCTCTTCTGGAAGCTTGTTACCTTTGCCATTTTCGGGCGACGTGAAGTCAGAGCTTGGCTCTGATGAGCCGATGATCAGTGTTGCAATGGTCTGAACCACGCATGGCACAGGTGATGAGGACATCTCGGTGATCTCTTTCTCTGACAATGATGTAGTTAATGAGATGCCAGTGTTTGGATCATGGGTGTTGCCACGAACCCTTGAACTTGTCGGCCTGCCTAAACAAAGGAATAATGATAGTGAGGTTGTGTGCAGCACACTTGCTGAGGAGGATTAGGCTGTTAGGATTACACTTGTCTAGTCCATTTCTCCATATAATTCCCTGCCAAATATCAGCATTGCTGCCAACTCTGGGAATAGAGGTTAGCACTCCGTCAAGGTCAGCTTAAAAGGCCTCCTTGATGTCATCATCTGCATTCAGTGTTGGGGCGTACTCACTGATGAAGAAGGCACCTTCCCATGTGGGATGAGCATCATGGCTCCTCGAAAGGGCTGCTCAGTCGCACAGACAGAACCGAATTGCACTGCTGCCTGGATCCCAGTGCATAAATGACTATCTTATGTGACCCCCATGTGCAGAGTTGTGACTAGACACTCCTGGCAGTCATCTATGCCTGTCCCCATCACCAATCCCCCATTGCCATAGGAATTTTGGGGGTATAGGGGTTTTGATGATGATGAGAGGTATGATGAGCTGGATGATGGCTGCGCGTGAGTTGATTTATGTGGTGAGGCAGGAGCGCAGGCTGCAACCACACAACTTGGCTCTCCCTTTTCTTGATCCAATGGTGCAAGTGTTGCAATGACTAGGGAGAGGGAGAGTTCCAATGGACTGGCAATAACCCAGTTTGTTGGGTTTCACCTAAGTAGCCTGTCCATCTAACATTGCCTTCGTCCGCCGGTGCAGTTGTTGGGTTCCCATGTTGGTCACCTCTTCCACCTATACCACTCTCGGGGTCTTGCTAGAGCTCTTAAAGCCTGTCTGCCTGATGCGGGGCTCCACCGCAGATTTTTCATTCAGGGTTTACTCCCGTAGCCTTATAGGTGTACCTACCAAGGTTAATCCGCAAGGCACAGGGTGGTTGGTAAGCGTCAGGACATATTCACATGCCAGTGGGCCTATGTGCTGTCCTTCTGGGGCCCACTGCTGCTTTGAGATCCCCTACTGGTCTAGCCTGGCCCCACAAGGCATCCAGTTACCATGTGTTGCCATGAGGAGGCACAGCAGGAGTCATGATGGTGAAGAGGCCGTGTACAGGCAAGGGAGGACTTCTGCAATTTGCTTCCCTGTTTGCCACGAGGGCTATCCAGCGGCAGTAGCTGAAAGCAAGAGGAAGCAAGCAGTGCTTGCACCTTAACACTAACATAATGCTGCCACACACACACACACACAGTTATATTTAAAACAATATTAGCATTACCATTTTATTACACTAAAATATACAGTAATATGTTAGAGGTATATCATCAAGATTAAAGATTTATATGTATTATTGATGCATACAGTATGTACATTAACATAAATAACTTATCCTATATTGCATTGTTTGGGCAATTACTGATGGCACTCCTTGAAAAGTAATCCTTCAGTAAATCTTATATACAGAGAGAGATGGAATACATGAGCAAACTTTACATGGACTAAAAAGTTTTTTATTTGAAATCTTTTCCATAAAAATGTAAATAATTATCAAAATTATGTACAAACTCAACTTCCATTTAAGTGGTAATGAGAGGGACATGTCATAAAAAACTATTTGCCATGTTTTCACATTCATGTGTTGTATCAATGGACTTGCATGTAGAGGGAGGACTTGCATGTAGAGGGAAGACACTTTGAATTTGACTAAGAGTCTTGAGTCAGTTTCTAAACTAAAGAGGAACTATTATAGTGTTCTTTATATACAGTACTCTTCTTCATGAGTCACATATTCTGCAAATTTAAAAAAAACAATATATTTCCTCAGTGTCATTGATCATTAAAATAATAAGATAAACTAACTTAAATCCCATTAAACATACACAATCAAAATACTGTATATATAAAACGATGTACTTGTGGACATTATTGTAATCAAGGGGTGAATATGTACACTCGTGACAAAAAGTTCTCGAACAGCTGGGCACAACAGATTTCAGAATGAGCACCATGGCTCGGGTCATCTGAGAATGGTTGGTATGCCTGGTTGTGAAGTAACTTTCAATAATTGGTAATAATATATGCTGCTCATGTTTATAGTATTTACAGGTGAAAAGAAGTAATTTAATCTGCAAAAAAAACTTCCTCAGAGAGCAATGTTCAGATTTCTTGTTTGTTTTGTCATATCATATGACCCTTAGATCGCTCAAGAACTTTTTGTAGCGAGTGTGCACACAGTAAAAAAAAGTACCGCTTGGATTATGTGCAAAACAAAATATGACACCATGGATGAGGGATGGTGGAATATGAGTGTTGGCCCTGTATTATGGTGGCAGCTCTGCTTTCCTTGCCAGTCCTGTGGAACGTAACTAATATGGCCCTATCATAGGCAGGTGGAAACCTTTGCCATACAGGCATGTATACCATCCCTCCTGGCACATCAGGTGATGTATGAATCATTACAGAAGTCAGCAGACCACCCCCCCTGCACGATACTCTTTTTTTTAGTGTGCGTACCTGTGGTTTAATATTGTCTCTATGCTGTAATTAAGCATATAGTGCAAGGAGCACACAGGAGGTCCCCACTTGTCAACAAGTATGCATTCCCGAAAACTAAAATTTAACAAAACGACACTAAATGAATCAATCTTTCTCATAGGAAATATAAGGGGATTATGTTCCTGGGAAAAATTTTTCATCATACAAAAATCATGATATACAAAGCAAAAAAATCATACATTTGCTTATTTCTACTTGACAAATATACACAATGCCAAGACCATGCTGAGGAACGATAGTTTAGGTTCTCTGCAATGCAAAGTAGTTCCATAGTAGTATTAAGCTGAACACTTCCCTATTTCATTAATACATTAATAACCAACCAGTAATAAATTGGTAGAGGACTAGCAGATACCTCATGTTCATCTAGAAATCTTCTCTGGTAAATCAAGAAAAGTTCTAATTTTAAACAAATTCAGGCAATGGTAGATAAAGACCTATATGACCCCTGAAATTTTAAAATTAAATGTTTATGGTCAATAATAAAGAAAATTACTTGTTAACTTGTGTAAATGGACAGTTTATGCAATTTCCAACAGTACAGGTATCCCTTGAGATATGCATGTCCGAGATGCGAATATTCACTTATTCGAATTTCCTAAACTGACACCACTATTTCGAGAAAGGAAAGCTTCCCTTGCTCATACAAATTTGGGTCAGGGCAAAATTTCAGATTTCGTTCGTTGGGAGTCAGCTAGTACGGCCGTCTTAGGGACAGATGTGCAGACACACATTCTCACTCACTGATCATATCCCCCCCCTCCCTCCTGCATCTCCCATAACCCCACGTCTTTCCTTCGACCATTCGTTGTGTGTGTGAAGTGACCTCTCTTTATCCATGTGTAATCGTGTCATCCTTTCGATATAACTTTCGTAATGGCATCCAAGCATTCTACTGAACCTTCGGCTACCCATACTACACCGAAGAAACCATGAAAGGCTGTGACTCTTGAGACAAAGCTGAAAGTAATTAAGCATCATGAATGCATTGATGACCCTACCAAGATTGGGAAAGATCTTTGTCTGCCTGCTTCTACTGTGGCCACTATATACAAGCATGCTGTGGTGTCCTTGGGAGGCAGCATTGACAAGGTGGAAAACCCTCTGCATCTCAATGAGTAAGGCCCTTACTCAACCCACCCCTGCACACCCCTTCTGCTGCTGAGCCCAGACTGCCCTCCCATGAGGTAATGTACCAAAGTTAAACAGTATTATATTAATTTTTTCATGTGTTAAGTAGTAATTTCATGTGTTTGGTAGTAAATCAGAGTAGTTGTGTACTATTTATCATCACTACCTCGGTAGGTTTTGTTCTTGTTTGTAAACCGATTTCATGTTTTTGGGGTACAATATTGGGGTATTTTTGTCAATGGGGAACTGAACTTTATTTTTACCATATGTTTTTCTATTCATGATACAAAATTTCACCTAAAAAACATTTTGGGGGGAACCTAACCCATTCATATCTCAAGGGATAGCTACAGTAATTCTATTTTTACAGAAGTTTCTACTTGGACGACTCATACATACAGATTCTCTTGCAGGGCAACAGTCTGGCCCGCAGCCAACATGTTTAAATACCTAGAGGTCTTTCAGCAATAATATCGCCATTGGAACAAAGCTCCTTGGCTATCGTTTCAAGATCACTAAAGTTCTTTTCGGAAACACTTGATTTTACAGCAGTAAGATTCAGTTGGATGCGGTCCGAAGCCTGAGAAGAAAAAGTAGTTAACATTTTGCTTTTTATTTGTCAACTGTCTACAGCTAAATTTTCTAAAAATTACAAATCAAAAATGTTTTATTGCCCAAATTTAGTAAACTACTGGACTCTTAGTTCCAACTTACAGAAATAATTTGTCTTTATCTTCATGGTTTACAAATCAAACAAATTTAACTATTCACTGTTAAGTAAAAGATCTATAACAAAAACAGAGTAGACAATTACAATGTATCACTCAATATTCCCTTCAAGAAGTTACCTAAAATCTCACCCATCATGATGGATGGCATACCCAATTCTGTACTACAAGTGTCCTTCAAATACTTATTTTCCACTTCTCAATTCTATATCCCTTCTAGTTTTGGATTACCTTTGTCACCATTTTCAATTCACCGTTGGATTGGGAATTCATATAAACTCCTGTCTACTGTTGGGTTTACTTACAGCCTCTTTCACTTACGTTTACCCAGAAGCCCTCACTCTCTATCACAATTCTGCTGTACATAAGAGGCTGGCACTTTACTGAACCATTCTTTATCAAGGCTATAATCTACTTACCTGCTTAATATCATCGTCCACCAAGCACATGCTTAAAACAAGGCAAATATTTTCCTTCAACGGTGAGTACAATATGGGATCAAGGTGTCTATTCGCTTGAGTAAGTGGTTTAAATATACCAACATGGTAATTATAAAACCTGACCCATCACATTTACCATAACCAAGATTAAACAAGTAACCCATCTACAGTGTAATAGTAATTTATAGATTTTGTATGTCATGCCTTTTCTAGATTACTTGCAAGTTATCAAAGTTCTACAGTAATTATACAATATATTTATTTGGAGACCTACAGCTTAAACAACAGAGCAAATTTTCTCATTGTACTGACCTCATTAACCCAAACTCGCGCTATTTTCTCCTCGTGGTCAGCTGATGACAAATTCAAGGTGAGGGAGCGGCTGGCCCTGGAGAGAACCACTAGACTGGCATAGAGGTCCATGGAGGCATTAGCTAGGCGGTTCAGCAGGAACTGTTGACCAATAATGTTCTTGCCGTGCTTCATCAAGAGACCCTCTGAGGTGTAACCAAATGCCTCAATTGCCTGTTGAAAATATTTGTTGTTGTACTATACATTTGTATTCAAATAAAGACTTAGCAGGTCATGCATGCTAGTTTATAATCAAATAATCGTCACACCCTAAAACATAACTAAACGTAAAAAGAATTGTATGTTTCTGACAGTGTCAGTAAATGGGTCAGACTCAAACACTGTACACCTGATAAAATATATAAAATAACTAAAGTCTGATGACTATCTGCTCTAATTGTAGGAAAAAATTTAAGTATTGATCCTGAAATACTGTTTCATAACAGTCAGGCTCAAGCAACTCAGTACAGTTGGCAAGTTTGGAGGTCAAAACCTTAAGACCTAAATTTGTGACTGAGAAATAAAAGCCAGTTCAAAATCACCATATTCAACACAGTTTTATGGCCATTTCCCACATTGGCATAGCCATCCTCGTGGGCATTCACGAGGGGGCGACCTATGCTCGCACTGAAAGCCGGAACCTCCTTATAATCAGTGACAGCATTTCTGCGCTAGTGAGGCTCAAATTACCCTCCCCCTCCTCCCCTGCCCCCCAACTGATGACATCCGTGTCAAGTTTATTTGGATCCCGTCACATATAGGAATAACTGCCTGTGACACTGTTGATCGACTTGCCAAAGAAGCGACACAAGAAAAAGATACTGAAGCCACCCTCGCCCTCTCCCTGAATCATCTCAAATCTCGCATACACACCACACAACGAGAAGCATTCGACATAAAATGGACACACCTGAAACAATGGGGTAGCGTCACACTATGCCACTATGACGCTGTAACCGGTGACTCTAACCGCCACTACAAAGAGTATCAATCTCTGACTCGATCTCAACAGATTATGTAGCTAAGAGTAAAAAAGTAAAGAATTTAAAATGCTCCCTACCAGTTGCTACTGCACAGATGTGATGCTTTATTTCAAAACACTTAAGATAGAAAATGTACTATTAAGCTCTAATGAATCCTTCACAACACTTACATCACTTGTAAAGGCAGTACAGTACAAATAATCATGTTTCAATAAATACTCCATAATATATTGTGCACATCGAATAAAAGAGCCCATTATGGATGTGGTGACTGATTACTCCACAATTTACCTAACACGCCAGAGAACATGTCCACAGCAGCCTTATTAAACTAAAGAGTCAAAACCCAATTTTGCATCACTGGCCAGTGAGATTTGTCCAACTGGCCATAAGCTCACACAGTTTAAGATGCATCTTCCAACACACTTTCAGTGAAATCAGTAGTGCAGAGGAGTAGCCTGGACAAAACTTTTAATATATCAATTATAATAACAACAGTGGGAGAATTGTACGTCTCTCCACCTTGAGATGAAGGAGACTAAATTCATATCAAGCCTCATAAATTTAAACTCTGTAGCTTAATGAAATGCAGTAGCATTTATCCCATCATTTCTTGGGTTCCATAACAAACCTGGCACTCACCCTTCCTAGAAGCAAAGAAGATTCATTCAGGTTAGGGTGGATGCCTTCAATTGTGCCACCATTCGTGAAGCCAATAGCACGCTTGGCTCTCTTGGTGCCTTCCCCTAATATGAGACCCAAATTAGCTGCAGGATTCTTGAGGGCCTGCTGGAGCTCACGCAGATGTCCACCAGCATACTGAAGACCTATAAAAAATATGAAATTCAATGAAATATTATTTTACAGTCCCCTTGACTCGTGCATTTACAGGAGGTCTTTAGGTTTTGTGCAGTGTGGCAGCCCTGAGTTGGTTTACATTTGACAGAAGGAAACTCACGATAGTAAACATGCTATGGAAACAAATTAAAACCAGATTAAAACAAATATTTCAGAGATACTGATTTGTGGAATGTTTACATGATGAGCCCCTGTAAACACACTAGTGAAGGGGATTGTACCTGATCATATCTTTTAATTTCTCAAGCCTTTTCCTACTGCAATACAGGACGGTGGAATCAAGAGCAAACACTTCCTCTCCCCTTAGACACTGTCATTCATTCACTCTTACTGCTGCAACAGAAGGGTTCTGCTGAGGTATTCTCCTTTTGTGCCAAGGCCTCAAACATCAATCCCGCTTACCCCTGATGCTTCAGTCAACTTGAAATCATCAATCAGTAGCACATTCATCTCTGGTCTGCCACACCACTGCTTTATGAATGCCTACCCTTCTCACTTCTACACCATTTTTCACCCCAGCCTTCCATTCCTTTTGCCTTCCATCTCCTTGCTACCATCCACCTCTTTTTACCAATCTCTCACTTCCTTTTCTCTTAATATATTCCTACCACCTGAGCACATCCTGATCACCTCTTGTCTAATCCTTCTTTCACTTCCATGTCAGATCTTAATTCCGTAAATCTTACTCTACATCCTATTAACCTAACATATTACTCTCAAACAGGTCATTTCCATTATGTCTTTCCCTTGCACTTACAAGCCAAACTTCACACCCACATATTTTTTCCAGACCAATTAATATTTACAAAAAAGTTTTTCCTCTTCTTCAGAAACTTTACACTCATGCTCTTTAGCACAAATGTTTGATCCTTCCACAATTTTCCTTTTCACACCCATATTGGTCTTTCTCACATACACATTCTGTTTTAATTACAATTTTCTCAATGATGATACTGGCATACACTTTTCTCACCTTACCTAAACTAACCTGGTAAACTCAACAGACTTACTCCTCTGTAATTTTGCCTTCAATCTTATCACTCTTCTCTTTATATGGGTGATCTTGTACTCGATGTAGCCGAGAACGAAACTACAAATGAGACCTTTTGTAATTTTTGCATTTATGGGTCACCTGAAGATTAGTTCCTCCCAATTAATTACTCGTAAGCCCGGCCCTACGGCCTAGAAAACAGTGCGTTAATGTTCGAAATAAGGTAAACAGAGTACAGTATTATGTTTTATATCTAGAAGTGCAAGTAATAAGAGTGCGGAGGTCATATTGCAACTATATCTTGCGCTAGTCAGGCCGCACCTGAATTATGCTGTTCAGTTCTGGTGACCTTAATATTGAATGGATATCAATTCACTGGAGTTGGTGCAGCGAAGAACGATGAAAATAATTCCGGGACTTAGAAACCTTCCAAATCAAGATAGATTAAAGAAACTAAACTTGCATTTCCAAGAAAGACGAAGAGTGCAGGGAGATATGATAGAAGTATTTAAGTGGGTGAAAGGAATCAATAAAGGAGATATAGATAAAGTTCTTATATTATCCGAGCAGGATAGGACTCGTAGCAACGGATTTAAGTTGGATAAGTTTAGGTTTACGAGGGAGATTGGAAGAATTGGTTCACAAATAGGGTGGTTGACGAGTGGAACAAGCTTAACAACTTTGTAGTAAGTGCTGGAATGCTGGAAAGTTTTAAAAGGAGGCTAGACAGATTCATGGATGATAGAGAGTGGTAGTAACTCTCGACAGGAGCTGTCATGCACAAGCCAACCGGCCTATTGCAGACAGGCCAACTGGCCTATTGCAGATTCCTTATTTTCTTATGTTCTTTAACCATCCCAAAACTATCTGGGAAGGTTAATAATATTCAGGTGACCCAAAAAGGCTAAAATTGGAAATGGTCACGACTACATCACTGTCCTATACATAACTGTCATCCATTCTTTAACTTTCCCCACCGCATTTTCTTAATATTTAAAACAGTGACTCCATCCACTAGGTTTGTTTACAACCTCTCTAAACTTCTCCTCATTATCATTTTCCTCTTTTCTCTCATTCATTCCCTTCAACTGTGTCCCCAACAGGATAACTCTACTGACCCTCTTATCTGTTGCATTTGTAAATTGTTCACCATATTCTCCACACTACCTTTTCCTTCCTCTCTCTTCTATGTACATTTGTGCACTAGGACATATTTAGACACTGCCAGTGAGAGAGGGAGATTTGGCAAGAATCGAACACTTTAACACCATTTGGCCACCATGCTAAACAGTGTATGAATGAGTTTATACTGTATAAAAATATAGCATAATTAACTGACCATGTATTAGCAAAACTGTGCAGAAAAATAATGTGTAAATTGAAGGTTTACTGTACAATATAAGAACTTTTATTACAACCACACTGGACTGCTTTCTTTATTTCAAAATTAACTTCAAATGTGAAAAATATGTTAAATTGATTTATCCCTATCAATAAAAAATATTTTATCAGTTAACATGTAAAGCAAAGTTTCAACACTGAGAAACAAGAAAATTGTGGTAAAATTAAAAAAAAACTTATGGGAACAAATGCTACAAACCAGTCAAAGCTACAAAGAGCCGAAGGATGTCATTTGTTCCTTCAAAGATTCTGAAAATGCGGAGATCCCTAAGTACGCGCTCAAGGCCCGCCTCTTTCATGAAGCCCATTCCACCCATCACCTGAATGGCTTCATCAGTCACTGTCCATGCTGCCTCAGAAGCAAAGCACTGAAAGAATATACAAATCATATATAAAAAAAATTATCTTGAACAGTCTTATCATGTATTGTACATCAACTTTGTGTAAGTAGCCAAAATATTATAGCAAATTGTTAAATTACTGTGACCTGGACTAATTAGGGGGAAGGTCTGCCAGGTTTGGCCAATATTCCGAGTTGGGTGGGAGTCTGTAAATATTATAATTATCTACAGTATATTACAAGGTGGAAAATTCCAGAGAATGTAGGATTTCCAACTCAAGCTATCTAAGAATACTCAACTTGCTGTAATTTTTAGCCTAGAGTTAACATACACAGGGATTTTATACACCATATGAATGTTTTTTTCTGGACCGCATCTGTAGAGAAATGTAAATTTTTCCTCGGTCTCTCATACTCTCGGCAGCTTGGTATTGGCTCTCAGTACAGCTGTAATCAGTGAGCCATCTGATTAGCTGGTGTTGCCAGGAGCTGTTATACATCTGGCAGCTGTGTGTGCTGTCTCGGCTATTACACTAAGCTCTATTCAAGCCTCATGTCCCAAAAATACCTCCATTTGATGGCCCGTATCATATAGATTTTTCTTTTATATAGTACAGTAAAACCTCACTATAGCAGACTAACAGGAGGGAAGGGGTGTCCGGGATAAGAGGTTGTCCACCTTAGAGCAAATTTTTCCCAAAAGACCACCATTTTAAATAAAAAACGAGTACAACACCAATGTATCCAAGTTTTACTTAAGAAATACTTTTTTGATCAAAATTAATTTTAAAAAGTAACGGACATTAGGTACAGTGATATCCCCGATAGCCGGAACAATTGGCTCAGAGCACTTCCGGGGATGAGAGATTTCCGGGTAACCAGAAGAATTTCTCAAACCCGGAAAAATTTCCCCATCCCCGGAAATATTTCCGGTTACTTGAAAGACTTTCTGAGTGTCTAAACTATGCATCTTGCACAGACAAACACTAGCCCACATCCTCATAATGTTTCTGTGTGCTGGGGAGTTTTCCAAGAGTCTAAACTAAAAATCTATATGAAATGGTCAAGAATGAAGCTGTGTGTTTGATCAAAGACTGGTATTTTCCACTCCATTGGAGCTGTGGGGGATTAGTGGATCTCATGTAGCTGACCTGACCTAACACAATGTCAGGTGGAGGTAGGGTAGGGTATTGGTGGTCTCATATTACTGACCTGATACAATGTCAGGTCACCCACTGTTGGGTGGGGGATTAGTAGGTCTGAGGACCTGAAGATATCTTGAATAAACATGAAAGCTAAAACACAGTATTTTTTATACTTACATCTATCACATTGTATCCCTTCAACATTGCATTACATAATATTATAAAATGTGGAGTGAGAAAGCTGAAAGCTATGGGTGATTAAAGAGACGGAGTGGAAAGGAGTGGTAACATGCACCAGTGTTGCCAAGAGCTAAGCTCCTCAATAGCTGATCTTTTAATTCACCACCAAATAGTTAACCACGCATAAATTTATGTCATACAATATGGGGGTGTGTGGGTGGTGTTAGGGTGTCTGGGTGTGACGTTGTGGTATTAATTACCGGTAATAAATAAGCAATATGTATTGTCAATGACAGTCGTTTGAAGAATAATAGCGTAGTACTACAATTGTCAACAATAATCATCAAACTACTGTACAGTGCTGTCATTAAAAATACAATATTGTTTATTATTCATTAATTAATACCCCAACACCACATCATACATACAATCTCTTGTGTGAGACACTGCGAGTTGGAGGGAAGCGGGGGGGCAAGGTGCTGGCAGGGAGGTAGGGGGAAGGCGATACACACACCTCCAACATTTATTATTACATATTCTCGTATGATCAGCCTCTTATGGTGTATGTTTTATCATAGATAATATAAAATATTAAACACATAAGAAAAATATGATGTATAATTATTAATTTGACATCAAAATTACATGACAAGTCAAAAAATAAGGCAATTTTTTCACAAAACCTACCAGAGGTGACAACATATTAGACCTAGTATTAACAAAAAAAGAAAATATTATCCGAGATATCACAGTAGGGGAAGAACTAGGGAACAGTGATCACAGAGAAATCAGATTCACCCTATATTGGGAAACAAAAAACAATAACAATATGGTCAGAGTCCCAGACTTTTAATCGACGGATTATGAGGGGTTAAAAAGGTACCTAGGTGAGGTCGCCTGGGAACAGTCAGGTCAGTCCCCAGTAGGAACGGGTGACTGTCACCGGCGACACAACAATTGATCATGACTATGATATATTCACTAGTATACTACGTAAAGCACAGGAACAAAATATACCATACAGAAAAATTAAGTCAAATAAGAATGAGCCAAGGTGGATGACCAAAAAACTTAAACATGACATAGGAATAAAAAAGAAATTTATAAGAAATTAAAGGGAGAGGAGGAGCATCTCAGAAATATGTATAATGAACTATCTAGGAATGTTAAGAAAAATGTAAGGAAGGCAAAGACGGACTACGAAATCAGGATAGCAAGAGAATCCAAGTCGAATCCCAAGGGATTTTTCCAGGTATATAGGACAAAGGTCAAGGACAAAGTGAGACCTTTAAAGTCAGAGAGGGGAAGTGATTGATGATTGCGAAAAAATAAGCAAAGCATGAAACAGCTATTACTTATCAGGTTTCACAGAAGAAATTCAGGAGGAAATGCCAGAGGTGGAACTGATATTTAGGGGAAATGAAGAAGAGAAATTAAAGAATATCACTATCAGAAAAGAGGATGTTCTTAAAAAGATAAATAAATTAAAGAAGAAAAAATCCCCAGGGCCGGATGAAATTTTCCCTCAAATTTTTGAACAAGTGTAAGGAACAGATTAGCGGACCCCTCGTAAATTTATTTACAAAATCATTAGACACGGGAGTTGTGCCAGACTTGTGGAAACAGGCAAATGTAGTACCTATATTCAAAAAGGGAGACAGAGCATCAGCGTCAACTTACCGGCCGATTAGTTTGACATCAGTAGTGGGGAAATTTCTTTAATCAATTATAGCAAATTCTCAACATGGGTTTACAAAGGGAAAATCTTGTCTAACAAATCTGCTGAAGTTTTTTTTGGAAAGTCTTCGAGGTTGTAGATAATGACAAAAATTACAATGTTATTTACTTACCCTGTAGACTTTAGCAAAGCGTTTGAAAGAGTACCGCATCAGAGGCTTCTGAGAAAAGTTAAGGCTCACGGTATCGAAGGGAAAGTTTTAAATTGGATAAAATCATGGCACACCAATACAGCACAGAGGGTCAGCGTAGATGGTGTTAAATCTGATTGGGGCTGTGTAACCAGTGGGGTTCCCCAGGGGTCAGTACTGGGCCCACTCTTGTTCATAATCTACATAAACGATCTAGATACTGGGATCAGCAGTGACATTAGCAAGTTTGCGAATGACACCAAAATAGGGTGGCAGATTAATTCAAGGCAGGATGCAAGTGCACTACAGGAGGATTTAAATAAACTGCAGAAGTGGTCAGAAAAATAGCAAATGAAATTCAACACCAGCAAGTGTAGCATACTTAATATTGGAAGAACAAATACTGTCAATGTATACAGCCTTAACAACATCAACCTAGAGAAGTCGACTTGTGAAAGAGACTTAGGTGTACTTGTATGCCCGGACCTACGGCCTAGAAAACAGTGCGTTAATGTTCGAAATAAGGCAGAGTATTAGATTTTATATCTAGAAGTGTAAGTAATAAGAGTGCAGAGGTCATATTGCAAATATATCTTGCACTAGTCAGGCCGCACCTCGATTATGCTGTTCAGTTCTGGTGCCCTTATTATAGAAAGGATATCAATTCACTGGAGTCGGTGCAGCGAAGAATGACGAAAATAATTCCGGGACTTAGAAACCTTCCATATCAAGATAGATTAAAGAAACTAAACTTGCATTCCCTAGAAAGAGGAAGAGTGCAGGGAGATATGCTAGAAATATTGAAGTGGGTGAAAGGAATCAATAAAGGAGATATAGATAAAATTCTTATAATATCCGAGCAGGAGAGGGCTCGTAGCAACGGAGTCAAGTTGGATAAGTTTAAGTTTAGGAGGAAGATAGGAAGGAACTGGTTCACAAATAGGGTGGTGGACGAGTGGAACAAGCTTAGCAACTTTGTAGTACGTGCTGGAATGCTGGAAAGTTTTAAAAGGAGGCTAGATAGATTCATGGATGATAGAGTGGTAATAACTCTCGACAGGAGCTGCCATGCACAGCCCAACCGGCCTATTGCATACTCCTTATTTTCTTATGTTCTTATGCAATTACGCACACGTATCTACTGTATACGGGGAGGGGGGGTGGCATGGTCAGTTTACCCACCATAAAAAACTGAAGAAAATAAGACCCTGGTTGTAGCTGTAGTGAACTTAATGTAAAAAAATTTAATACATGTATATATGTTTAAGTAATGTTATTTAATGTTAATAAATGGAACACTAGAAGTAGCTAACCACTAATGGTAAAGAAATAAAACAAAACGATTGGGAACGCCAACGTATGAACAGTAAGTGCGTACATGAGAAAACATATCGTCATATCTCTACATATGAATATGAAAGCAACACTTATTTACTGTGCAAATATGTTTTAAATAATATTTACGAATGTAAAACAAAAACTCTACTCACCAATGGTGGTAAAGTCTAAAACACAAGGACAGCCAATGAATATTGTGCGAGTTTTTACTCAGAGGTGGTTGAGCTTTGAGGTGATAAGGCAGTTGAGGCAGGAAGTGATTTTATAACACTCTCAATATGCCACTAAACGTAGAGGAGTAGTTATGTGTTCATTGTACGGTACACTATTCACATTTCTTAAGACACTTCTACTGCTTCCTCAGAGGCAGCTGTTGACTTATCCTCCTGTGCAACCACAGAGGCAGCCCCCACTTACATGAACTACCCTCCATACTAACCAAATTTTGGTTGTGTTTTTACGGGGTTGGGCATACATCTGTCCAGTGCTGGACCCCAGTCCAGTTTGCAAGGGATCCGGATTGAGCAAGTCCAGGTTAGATGGAGTTTACGGTATTATACAAAGATGGAATATAAGCAATATTACTCAAGTTCAAAATGAGGTATAAAAAACAAGGAAAATACAGAGTGAATGTCAAATTTTCATGTACTGAAATTTTTATATACATTTAATCTGAACCTTAAAACATGCTGGATTAGATACTAACTTTACTTATAGCAGCCTCCAGGTGGTAGTCCTTAGAGCCAGAGTCCATGTTAGAGGAGATCATGTAAGCCATGGATTCTGTCACATAGTGTAGCATTGCCATTCGTGCCAGCTTCTCCTGTGGGGGTTGACAAGGCATCAGCCAATTAATATACACTGACAATATAAAAGACTTTTATTTCAACGACAATCCAAATTCCAGAAATTAAAAGAAATTAAGCAATAAACCCCATTTCACAACCAAGAGAATAAACTTATGCCTGAAGATGAGGGGGCTTTATGTGCTGTAAGGGGAGGCCACACTGACCCAACTATGGACAAGTTTAAATGACTCATGACCATTCCCTCATCCAGCAAGCAAGGATCAAGCCCCACAAAAGGAGGAAGGAAGGACACCAGGTTACCAATCTTCCCTATACTATAAATTGGGATTCAAACTTCAATTCTCCATTACTATATTAGTCTAGTTCTCAACATGTGATCTAAGAGATCTCAAGCCACCAAAGGAGAATGGAGGTGGTCAACAGTCTTTGACACTATCGTCAAGTTAAGAAATACATTCCTCAAATAACCACCGAGGACTAAACAGCATGGCTGTTGGCAAGTGAAATTGAGACAATGTAACAAAATTAGGTTTATCTTGTATTTAGATGATTAGTAAAGTTGATGTGTCATGATACCTTTCTTAGTTTGAAAGGTACAGGGTAGACACATCATAACTACTGTACAGTAAACCCTCGAAGATCCGGACCCAGTAGATCCGGATTTGGAAGATTTGGACAAAAAATTTTTGAGTTCTGGCCTCAGAAACCTCCCAGAAGTCTCCCTAAGAAGAAATCCCAAAACAGAGCAAAAACTATTTTAGGCCCATGGGTGCTGGTTGACCAGTCGGTCGCACTGGACACAGGTGCCTGAGGAGGTGGGAAACATAAACAGTTGTCAATTGTTGTTTGTGGGAATATTATTTCATTCACTCTAATAATGATACCATGTTATCGAAGGTAAATATATGGTTTATATAATTTGTTTATCACTGTGTCTGTTACCGTTTTAAAATTAGACTAAAAGATATGTATTTCTCCAATACATACTTCAATCATACGCCTGGCAACAGGTGCGAGTAAGGGGAGTGAGTGACTGCATCTGCTAGTCAGCGCGTCAACTGGTGTTGTAACTCATCACTCTACCCTGCCATATTTAACTGGATTTGCTGTTATTATGTTTACTGACATGTACACAGTGCTTAATAGTGATTAATCATGGCATCTAAAGCAAGTGGTGGAATGAAGAGAAAGCCTGTACATTTTCCCGTTGTGCAGAAACTTGAGTGAATAAAGAAGTTAGAATCTGGTGTGTCTGTGGCTCGCTTCTGTGATGAATACGGCGTGAAGAAACAAACTGTCAGACATACGTAAGGCCAAGGATAACTTGTAGTGACGGCACATCCAATCCTCAAATACGCCACTATTATGAACACCTTCGGACTCTTAGAGAACTTTTTAATAGGGAGCAGTAGAATGCAGGGAAACAACTTAAGCTGGACTCCTTCTTCAAGCCTGTTACTCGCGCCCCTCCCGCCTCCTAGCTAAGCCAAACTGAGGGGCAACCCTGCTCCTCTGACTCAGAATAGTAAGTTGTTCTCAGTCCCCACTATACGATCACGGCAACACAAACTCATCTATCCACTGCATAGGGTGAGACAACATTACTGTATTTTTGGTGTTTCTTATATCATTATTTATCGTTTTTATACATTTTGTACGTTAGCCGGAAGATTCGGACAATCAGCTTTTTCGGACAGGTGATTCACCCCCCCCCCCTTAGTCTGGTTCTTCAAGGGTTCACTGCATTGCATATTTGCATAACAATTTGACCTTAGACTGTGACTCGAACAGTAATGGTACAGAACCCACTTTGGTACATGTTTGACATCATCTGGTAGTGATCATGCTATCTTGTTATATCATCATGTATACTTTGAGGTTAAAAAATATCAGACCGGGTAAAAACACTTTGTTTATACAGTACGATCTCATGTTTTGCGACTAATTGGTACCGGTAGTGGGTAAACTTGACTTCATAATGCTTCTTAAAGAGAGCCAACCAACCAACAGATGCATTGGACGGTGGTGGAAAGTTAACACGTTTCTTCTATGCAACAGCAACATAATAAACACGTGCTTGATGCCTTATCTGTGTTCCAAAGAGGTCACTTTGCTCACGGTTTCTCCTTTCCAACCACTTGTGAAGGTAATGTTCTGTGATAACTAACAGTAGGTTTCGTTGTGAAGTATCGGAAAACGTCCTGTTACTAGAAAATCTTTAGATTATATTCACAGAAGCAGTTGAGGCTTCCTTGTTGTTCTTAAGGGAACGTATGGTTGATTCAGGGCAGTTGAACCTACACATGATTTCACAGGTACGAGCACCACTTTTGATTATTTCAAGCATCTCGTTTCATTTCAAGGGTGTATTTCCTCTTCTTGACCCCCTTACGGTAGTTACTCTTGGCTTGGGGCTTTCCTTGTTGGCCTTCTCTACGGCCATCATTACCAACAGAACTGCTCCCGACATTTACATTACGCACTTCACTCCTCGCTAATACACAAGAATCATTAATAGTTTAACATGAATCTCGCAAAACATAAGTACAATGGGTTATATAATCCAAGTCACTGCACCGCTCACTCATTCAAACTAACTGCCGTTACGGCGTAAACAAAAACCACTCAGCGGGTCGACTGATAACAAAAGACCGTGACAATGCTCGCTGTCCACTCAACAATGACTCGCGAAACTGGTAATGAAAATTGCTCTTCTTGAGAGACTGGAAATTTTAAAAGTGACGTGAAACATATGAATCACGAATCTAAAACTAGCTAAGCTTGAGATCCTACTGTGTATCAGTTTTGACCTTTGACTGAGACCACTAATATACAGACCAAATACTAACATGTGAAAAATGTTCCAGTCAGGATGTACTTTTGTTACCAGTATCATTATCAGCAGCAACACTCCAGTAATTGTTGCTACTAATTGCTTCACTAGGAAATAAAATGGGTGAAAATTTATTAAAGGTTAGTATACAGTATATACCATGACATATGGGTATCATGAGTCAATTGGAAATTCTATAAAAGACAACAGACATTATACAGAATGCTAATCCTTACCTGAATCGTTCCAAAGCTGTCAATGCGTTGGCCAAACTGCATTCTTGAGGTAGCAAAGTCCAATGCCTTCTTAATAGAGTAGCGCATTGTGCCAGACAATGCAGCAGCCATACCAAAACGACCATTGTTCAAAATTTCCATGGCAACCTAAAATATCAGGAATATTAATAACAATATATAATTCATATCAAGGCAACTTTTGCATATGAATTAATTCTTTATTTTGCAACTCTAATACCAAGAAAAATTTATGTGGGAGAATGAGTAGCATTCAGTCACCATGACAATACAGATGAAGATACCACCAATGAACAGCAATGAGGGAAGAGGGATATGAAAGTGGGCACTTTAGATCCAACAGTAAAACAGATACAGCACATCGCAGACAATTTGATCAACTCACGAAAACGCAGTGTGACCAGCACTAATGTAATCCACCTTTCACCTCCCCAATTGTAAAGTTAGGTATCCACTCCCATCAGCATGAATTAGTAGTACTTGGGCACAAACAATGGCCCTTAGATAAGAGGCAAACACTGTATCCGCTCACAAAACACATCAAGAGAAATACAACAATAGGATAAAATCTAAGCTGTTACTATACTCATTATCTATCTCTAATTACCAAGGCCTTGGAGAGAGAGAGAGAAGATTTTAATCATTCCATAAATACCAGAATGAGAGGGTTATTGTCCCTTCAATTAATAAAACCCTACAAAGCCAAGTGGGAGACAAAATTTAATACAAGTTGACAAAAACAACCCACAACATTTACCAAAACACAACAAAAAATCCACACATACACTACACTAATAAAACTGAGAGAAAGAGAACGAAATGATGTACAGTACCCATTGTGGGCACTGTTAAAGAGAAAAGGGAACCTTAACCCAACAAGGCTATACAGAGACAAGAATTGACTTAGTTTCAATATGACCTGAACCAGAGAAACCAATGGAAGAATCTACTGTACAAACCTGGTTCCATCCACCCAGTCAACTGGAGAACATTCACTACCACTGAACTCTCCTGAGGAATGGTCACAAATGAGGACAGCAATTATCAGATAACAGTCAACAAAATTATCTCGTGACAGACTCCCAGTAATAGAATGACTTTAAATTCCACTCCATTCTAACAGCATTGCTTTATCCTCAAGAAAACTACTGACAAGACACCGAGCTTTTAAGAAATATGCAGCACTGTAATAACAGAAGAGTTTTGACAGGAGAAACACCTCATTTGAACCTACAGATAAAGAAAGGAACCTAAAGAAACATCCCTTCTTGACAGGCCATTACAAAATTCCTCTCCACTGAAGCTTCCACACTTCTACAACCCAGAAAGACAATAATAAGTAAAATATCCTTTACATGAGAAGTCCAAAGTACATTGATTTTACAAGTAAAAGAAATTTTAAGTTATGTATCAGGAATTAAATTTTTTATATCAGCTACACTACTTAAGGAAATAACAGTATCCTAAAATGTAATAGGATTTACAAAGTGAATACAAAATAATGTTTTTCTTATAATTTTACCGGTGTTTAAAAGAGTAAGTATCCTTAGCATAATTCAGTAAAAAAAATTTCAGTATGATCAAATTTACATAAACTAAAAGCAATTACTACTGATATTTGAAAAGCACAATGCAATACATTTAACTCCATGTTGTAATACCCATATAACTTACCTTGAATCCATTGCCTGAACCTCCAAGAACATTTTCCACAGGAATTTTTGTATCTTCGAAGTAGACTTCAGCAGTATTGGAAGCCTTAATCCCCATCTTCTTTTCAGGTAATCCATGGGAAACTCCACCAAAAGCTCGCTCTACAATGAATGCTGTCACTTTGTCCTTTGTCACACCTGGCAAAGACATGTTCAGTTTTCAGACAGTTTCATTCCTTCTTATTATATACAAAGAATAATATTCTTTGACCATTAAACGATGGATCTATAAACAATCAATCAGTTTTACGATGTAAAAAAATTAACACAATTTACCGCTATGTGATGGCCAAGACCAGATTTACAATGGTCGCTGCCCAGTTGAACTGTGTCACATCGCCCAAAGGGTGGTTTGTGTGGAAGAAGCTATTCTTTGTACATAAAATAATATATACTGTACCAATAAATGTGAGGAATAAATAAAAACAATAATAAAGAAAAGAACAAATTCTTGTCACCATGCAAGGGACACAAGACAGCGTGCCAAGTTCCCCCACACCACTTTCCCCCCTTCCCCGCTATACATGTTAAGTAACTTAAGAAAAGTTTGTTCCCTTTATGTTTTTGACCTTTTGTTAATTACTTTTTAAATTTTCTTGCACATTATGCACATTTGTGTGTGCATGTAAGAGTAAAAAATATAAATAATAGTACAGGTTGTACCTCTCTAGTCCGGCATTCTGTAGTCCGGAAACTCCCGTGGTCCGGAACGATTTTAGTTTGCCCATGGAGAAAATTAATTTGAATCTGGTACTTTTGATGTTTGGCTAAATTTGGCCTTATTTACCGTACTTTTTTGGCAAATTACTACCTGTAATAAAGCAACATCCTAATAAACCAACGAAAATAACACAGATAAAGTTAAATAAAAACTAAAAACAACATAGTAAAGTTCTTATGTTCTACAGCTTTAGCTAGAGTTGAACCTGATGACTTGGCAACTTCGTCATCCGAGTAAAAACACACACATCAACATTGGCTGTCTTTATGTTTTCAACTTTACCACCACTGGTGGGTAAAATTTTTGTTTTAAATTCAGAAACATTAATTAAAATATATATGAACAGTAAATAAGTGGTGCTTTCATATTCTTATGTAGAGTAATGACGATATTTTTTCACATGTGCGCACTTACATACACGATCTCACTTTTTTTTACCATTAATGGTTAGCTACTTCCATTGTTCCATTTAGTAACATTAAATAACATTACTTAAACAACCATATTAATTTTACTACAGCTACTTCCATTGTTCCCTTTAGTAACATTAAATAACATTACTTAAACAACCATATTAATTTTACTACAGCTACAACCAGGGTCTTATTTTCCTCAGCTTTATATGTAGAACCAGTCAGTCATTGGTTTTGTAAACAACGAAAACAATGCTGTCTCATCTCCTTGTGTGTTTTAATATTCTACGTATTATTAATGAATTGTATTGTTCATTTTGCACACAAATATTAATTCAATCACAAATACATTCAGTAATAAACAATAATGAATGTTTTGTACATAGAGAAATGACGCTGTTTACACAATTGTGCACGTCTGAACGTTGGCGGGCCGCTCAAACCCGTCAAAATTTTAAATTGTGCTGTGGGTTTTTTTTTCCAATTAAAAAAACGTTGAATTAAAAATTCGCGAAATTTGAGAACCTACTGTACAACATTTAACCCTTCAATATGTCTTCAAAGAGACCACGAAGCAGTGAAAGTGGTACTAGTGCTTCCAAGTGTATGCACAAGTCACTATCTGTCCAGGAAAAGGGTGAATTTCCATGGTCCGGCACTGGTCAGGTCCAGAGGTTGCCGGACTAGAGAGGTACAACCTGTAATGCATATCTACTCAAAATTGCGAGTTGAAAAACAACAATAACGCAGCTCATAGCTTGGCCTGGTAGAGGGAAGCTGAGATCCTGACTGCACTCCCCTCCCACGATCCACGCTAACTCCCGCGAACATAAGAAATGTTTTTCTCTGTTTTTCACTGCATTATAATAAAAAGAATTATACATTCTCTTTTAAATGTTGCATGTGCATGTAAAAAAATTTAATAAAATTACGTGCCTACCCGAAATTATGAGTTGAAAAATAACTGCTCTGAGTGATAACTCTGGGTCATCAGGGTCTCAGGAACGGAATCTATTTTTCCCATAAGTTATTAGTATCAAAACAGCGCACTGTACGAGCGATCAACTTACAATGGTCAACAGCCTGTACTGTGTTTATTTGCTCTGAAATATATTATTAAATTCCAAGGATAATATTAAGTATGGACAACTCTCCTATAATTCCATAAATAAAAAAGCCAAAACCTTTTACTGATTTGAAGTAACAGACTTTTCAATTAACATAACAAATGCAGTAAAAAAATTTAAGACACTTGCAATATACAATTAACTATTGTTCCCTTAAAGCCAAGCATAACCTTCCTTAATTCAAACACCACTAGAATTTTTCCAGTAAGGTTGGGATATGGCTAACATTCATTTACTGATTCTAAACAATATATTCTAGGAAGACAATCATCCTACTGTACAGTACAGTACTTTAAAACTTGCACGATTACATAAACATCTAAACTCATTTCAGAAATCTTTTCCACAATATGTACATATTTCCCTGTCACTCATTGGGTTAAGCTAGTAAATAAAATGTATTTTTTTTTTAACTATCTACATCATACCTGAACACTACTACTCCTATTATTATTATTCCACCATCAGGTTCTTAGGTGGGTGACAACCAAGTAACTCACCAGTCTTGGGATTAGTAATGGGTGTCTGTGCAAACACTGTAAACACTTCTGCAAGGCCACCATTGCTAATCCAGATTTTGGAACCATTGAGGACATAGTGAGAGCCATCTTCAGACAGAACAGCTCGGCTTCTGATTGAGCCAGCGTCTGATCCACTGGAAGGTTCAGTTAGAGCAAAAGCTGCCATGTGTTCTCCAGAAGCAACCTTGGGAAGATATTTTGCCTTTTGCTCAGGGTTGCCAGCTATCAATATGCCCTGCAACACAAAAAAGGCCATGATATATAAAGTACATTTTCTTGGTTCCTGGTCAAAGACATTGTCTGCTTTTCTTGTATTTGAGGCAGGAAAATTAATAATTTTGTTATGTTATTATAACTTTTTAATTGTTAGTATTAAAGTGAAAGTACGATCGTTCTCATTTGTGAAAAATAATTAAATGACATGAAGTTACCTGAAGATGACCCCCCCCCCGGGAGAATTTAACAAATGTATGGAAAGACAGACTCATCTGAGTTGAACCATCTTGGTATATGGACATCACTCATCCTCACACACCTTTTATAACAAGTGCCATGAAAACTCATGAAAACTAGTGGACAAATTTTGTCTACAAAATTACAAACAGATTCCTCAAAATGTAAATATCATCATTTATAAGCTCCTTTTCAAAGAATTAGAACATTACTGACTCTGCTGTCAGTTCTGAACTGAGTACAGTATGTGAACATACAAAGATTAAAGATGGAAAATTTTCAATGGCATCCTTTTTGTTGGTGACCTAGGATGGTTGAACACAGGATCAGCAGGTCATCTGAAGAGGGTGTATGTATGTGGGGCTATATCTAGTGTTGAAGAAGTGTTAATACAACATGCCCTTAAAATTTGCGAGGGTTAGGTTCTTAAAATGGCCACGAATAACATTTGCTGACCAGGGGTACATTTTTACTTGTACGCAAAGAAATCATATTCCCTTAATGTGTTTGCCCTTAGGACAATTATTTCTTTTACCTGTATTGTATACAGTATATATATATATGTGTGTGTAGACACTCACACACAAAACACATACAAATAAATAATAATAGGAAAATCCTCTCACAAATAATAAGAAACAAAACAACAAAAGTATTTCAAATATTAGTCTACCCTCAAGTCAACTCTGTACTTTGTTATAACTTTAATAACAAAGCATGGATTTGACTTGAGGGTAGATTCACATTTTCAATACATTTTTGTTGTCTTGTTTCTAATTATCTGTCAGAGGATTTTCCCATTATTATACGTACGCACGCATGGACGGACTCACACACACACACACACACAAAATATACAGGTAAAAAAAATTACTGTCTGTAGAATGAATGGCTCCCTGTCCCGGCCACGAAAATGCCAGCAACTTTAAAACTACCCTTAAACATTCTTGGGTACATCCACGAATTATCAGATCATGCTGTATATTTTTGATGCTGGTGCGTGTCTGTCTCGGAGTCTAGTCGATCAACCTTAAAGGTTTTCACACTCCCATATGCAACACTTTAACTGTTCTCCCAGGTTCAAGTGTCAAATTGATACTTTCAGGTGTCACAATGAAGATGAATTTTGGTGGGAATCCAAAGTTACTGAGAAATCTCCAAAGGGCTTCCTTGTTAACCATGTCAAAAGCCTAAATAAGGTTGGTGAAGACCATACATTGGTCAAAATGATGCTTTGTGTTTCTCTCCTGAATCTGGCAGGCAGCAGAGATCATGTCAGTGGTGCCATGACAAGAACTAAAGCTGCACTGTGACTCCAGGAGAACACTTTCCAATATGAAGGAGCTGCCACAGTCTGATCTGTCTCCTAACTGCTGTTGACGGCCACTAAATCCAAGAGAAGTAGTTAACTAACACACACACCTTATCCTCATATGCAGAAACAAGTCTGAAAATTTGCAAATAAACAATATTTAAATACAAAATAAAATCAAAGGCACAGTACTATGCTTAAACAATTACTGGTACCTCTACACCGACTACAACTACCAAGCCTTCACTAGGGAGGAATAAAACATCAAGAGAGCCGAAGAAACTGTACTAATGCAGTGACCTACCAGAAAAAATCACACATCATCATAATAGAGCACACATTCCCCCAACCCTGACCCACCCAGCAGTATACAGTATATCTCTCCACATTCCATGTATCACCTAAATGTTGAATCAGCAAGTTGTCTAGAACCAAGTCCTGAACCCCTCCCAGATATGAAAGTAAAACCATTTATCCTGCATGCTTGGGAAATATACGAGACCTGACAATTAAGTTCGTGAACTCGCCACGTGGCTCAACATGCATCAGCACTGTAAAGAGTGTGAGTGCCGTGCGTGTGACCTTGATCCCTTCTCTTACTACCCCAGTTGTGTCGTCGATCTCAAGCAAGTCAGATGTGTGCAGTGGCAGCTATTGTATTAGTGTTTTCTGGTTTTGTCACAATAGTGACAGATATTGATTTAGAACAAAGAACCACCATCAAGTTTCTCATGAAACTGGGGAAAACTGGGCCTGAAATTTAGGACATGTTAACCCAAGTTTTTGGGATAATGCACGAAAGAAAACATCAGTTTACAAGTGGATTAAGTGACTTTCTGAAGGAAGAAAAGACGTGACAGAGAAGGACGATCAACAACGAGCAGGACTGAGGAAAATATTGAAAAAAATAGGAAAGTTGTGTGAGCGAACAGGCAATTGATGGTGAAAAGCATTGTAGATGAGGTGCAGATTGACAGGGAAACAGTTAGAAGGGTTTTGACAGAAGATTTGAAGATGAGAAAAGTTTGTTACAAACAAAAACAAAGATGAGTTGAAATTTGCTCAGATCTTTTGGAAAGAGAAGAAGCTGGAGATGACCTGCTTCACTGAATCATTCATTACTGGTGATGAGTCATGGGTCTACCAATACAACCCTGAAACAAAATGTCAGAGCACACAGTGGAAAACTGCAAACTCGCTGCGACCCAAAAAGTGTCGCATGTCAAGGTTGAAAGTGAAGACAAAGCTCATCACCTTTTCGATTTTAAGGGTGTAGTTCACAAAGAATTTTTTCCCCCAGAACAGGATGTGAACCAGTTTTACTATCTCGATGTGCTTAAAAGACTCGGAGAAAACGTTAGACGAAAACGCCCAGAACTTTTCACTGGAAACAAGTGGATCTTGCATCATGACAATGCCCCAGCGCACACGGCAGTGATTGTGTGGGAGTTTTGGGCAGAGAAACAAATTACCTTACAGGAACCTCCTCCTTATTCACCTGCCCTGGCCCCGTGTGACTTTATTCTATTTCCTTCGCTGAAGAAACACATCAAAGGGACACATTTTCAAGACAATGATGACATTCGAGTAGCACGAAGGCAGCTAAAAAAGCTATTCCAGAAAGTGAGTTCCAGAAATGTTTCCAGAGGTGGAAGAAATGCTGGCATTTGTGTATAGCATCAATACAGTGATATCCCCATCAGCTGGAACAATTGGTGCAGAGCACTTCCGGGGATGAGAGATTTCCGGCTAACCAGACGACTTTCTCAAACCCCTTAAAAATTCCTTATCCCCGGAATCTTTTCCGGTTACTGGGAAAAGTTTCCGAGTGTCTAAACTAGACATCTTGGACACACAGACACTAGCCCAATTCCCCAGAATGTTGCCGGGTGCTGGGGTTGTTTTCCTCGAGTCTAAACTACCGGAGTCCGTAAATGCAGTTCTAATTAAGTTAGAAACTCCATTTCTTTACTATAATAATCCAGAATAGTTTAAAAGTCTGATCAAATAAATATATTTGAAAATTAAAAATATTTATGATATAATCGTGAATTAAGTTGTGTGTTACTGCAAAGACTGGTATTTTCCACTCGCATGGAGCTGTGGGGAATTAGTGGGTCTAATGTACCTGACCTGACGCAATGTCAGGTCGAGGTAGGGTGTGGGATTAGTGGTCTCATTAACCCTCAGGTCCAGGGTGACGTTCCAGAACGCTCGCCTTTTCCCACCACTGTTTAAATGCCCAGCGCGGGTTATCAGGTTCCCGTGTGACTATTTGCCTGTCACATCACACCTAGGCCACTGGGAAGCTTCCTGAACATAATAACCTACTTTTTTTTGTTTCATTTTCATTGTTTGTCCATTTCATTGTTTGTCCACTGAGACTAAGAGGAATGGGATTGACTAATCCAGTGGAGCTTGCCAATACAGAACATCAGAACTGTCAAGCTCACGGCAGCTTTTACTGAGCACATAATAGATCAGAAGGCAGCAAGTCAGGTGGATACCAACGAACTAAACAAGATTCGACGGTCCATTACGACAGAGCGGCAGCACACCCAAAGTGATGAACTGCAACAACTGTTGCAGCTAGTGCCAGAGAACGTGAAAAGAAAAATAGCTATAGCGCAGGAGGTGGGGGCTTCCAACTGGTTAACAGCGTTACCGATAAGGGTAAAAGGCTTCATCCTTAATAAACAAGAATTCACAGATGCCATTGCTCTATGGTAGGCCAGTAGAAGGTTTGCCCTCCCAATGCGTGTGCGGCTCATCGTATGACATCGACCACGCGCCATAGTGTGCAAGAAATGGGGCTTCAAATGTATGAGGCATGACGAAGTAAGGGATCTAACAGCAAATCTACTAAGAGAAATCTGCCACGACGTCATGGTGGAACCAGCCCTCCTTCCATTGGAAGGTGAGAACCTCCGTCACAGGACTTCAAACACGTCCAATAAAGCCCATGTGGACGTCAGTGCTCGAGGATTCTGGATGCGGGGACAGTGAGCCTTTTTTGACATAAGGATTTTGTATCCCATGGCCCGATGCTGAACACAGGAGGAACAACAATGACAAGATTAGGGCACATGGAGAGAATTCAGAACCGCCCAGAACCGCTCAGAACTGCTCCCAACATTTACATTATGCACTTCACTCATCGCTAATACACAAGAATCGCTAATACACAAGAATCGTTAATACACAAGAATCGTTAATACACAAGAATCGCTAATATACAAGAATCATTAATAGTTAAACAAGAATATCGCAAAACATGAGTACAATGGGTTATATATTCCAAGGTCACTGCACCACTCGCTCATTCAAACTAGCTGCCGTTACGCCGTAAACAAAATACACCCGGCGGGTCGACATAACAAAAGACCGTGACAATACTCGCTGTCCGCTCAACAACGACTCGCGAAACTGGTAATGAAAATCGCTCTTCTTGAGAGGCTGGAAATTTTAAAAGTGATACGAAACATATGAATCACGAATCTAAGACTCACTAAACTTGAGATCCTATTGTATGTGTTTGACACACACACATATATACAATACAAGTAAAAGAAGTAATTGTCCTAAGGGCAAACACATAAAGGGAATATACATTTCTTTGTACACAAGTAAAAATGTAACACCCCCCCACCGGTCAGCAAATGTTATTCGTGGATTTGGCAATTCGCGGCTATTTTGAGCACCTAACCCCGGCGAATTTGGGGGGCCCCTGTACTCAAGTTGAAATAAAAAAGTACCTCATTCATAAAGCACTGAAGTTGTGAAAATAAAAAGTAAAACAATTATTAATTGTCTAAAATATTAAAATATATCCACAGTAACTTATAAAAAACTAGTTATCTAAAGGTAAAAATAAAAGAAAGAATTACACATGTTTATTTGCAAATTTTTCTTTTGAGATTAATCAATAACTGATCCCAGCACAGGTCTGGCCACTCAATATTGTACTGTAATACTAACATCATTATTGTTTATCCATAGACATAATATAAACTACAAACTCACTATAGTATTTGTAGAAGATTAACAATAATGGTGTTTGTAAGATCTTTATATCACACAAGTAAAATACTTTCCTGCACTTTAACTCATTCAGGAGTGAGTGCTTCAGTAATAAGTCATCCTGAAACAAAGTACAAGGAAAGGCTTATGTGAAGACCCACAAGAAGGACTAGTTGATACCAAGTTCTGTACATGTAATCAGTCTGTGACCTTGACCTCTGATATATTGTCCAGACTGTAGTAAAAGAAGCATGAGTGTATTAACATTAACTAAATGTCAACAGAATTTCTGTAAGAGGAAGTGCTGGGTTATATGACAAAATGAAACAGATAAACAAACAAGGTAATGGCCAAGTTCCCCTCAACAGAAGACAATCAATTGGTGTTCATTAAAAGACTTCAGGATAACTCAAGTTTTGAATGTCAGTTTAGGGGAACACAGAGCTAGTTGGATCTAGCTACACCTAGTATTCTTTCACGAGTTTATTCGGATTAGAGCTGCAAATGAAGTTCATACAAAAAAGTTAAAATAAAATAAAATGAATGAGAACTCATGACAATACAAACCTTAAAACCAATGGACTGGTGAGCACCAAGTGTAATGCCAACACCCAAGTCGTGTGAACCAACAATTTCCACCAAGCGAGCGTACTGTGTGTTGCTGAGTCCTACACCACCAAACTCAACTGGTACCTGGTGACCAAAAACCTAGTTAAACTTCATCTATCAGTCATAAATAAGATTCAACTGATAGAGGTGGAACAAATGAATTAAAACTGGCATAAGAAAATGAGAGTAAAACATATTAGGCAGAGACGAATAAAATATTCCTCAACTCCTGATAAATTTAAATTTCTGGCCATAAAAACTATTCCATGCACAATATACATACCAGGTAACATCAATTCTCATCAAGACCAAGTAAAACACTATACAGGTATATCAACTTATACATTCATCTTTAACTGGCTGTTTCTAACTGCCTTTGTAATACAGTATTCTGATATTAAATAAACAAATATACAGTAGTATCAAATCATTTATAATTGCATTAATTTAAAATGTTTACATACACATAATATCACAACTATAGGCTTAAAATCTTAGCTTACTGTTGCTTTTAACCAGTAGGCTACTTGAAATGAACGAAATTTCCCCAAAAAAGTGCAATGGACAAAATTCAAGCAAAATCTTATCAAAAAGATCAATAAACAAGTATGGTCCACTTAAACTGGTTAACTGACATCCCTGTAAAATTAATGATGCCTTTACCCCTTCTCTATTACAAACCAAAATAACAGTAATCATTCTATTTTACGGAATAAAGCATGCAGGTCACTCCCACAAAAGGGAGGAATCTGCTTAATTGAATACTGTAGTAATACCTCTGGATATGGACAGTATGTCCATGAATTCAACTTAGTTCTAGGAAATTTTTCAGAGTTAAATTTAAATGGGAATATGTTCCAGTCCGTTATAGTGCATTAACATTCCTGGGGTCATACATTCGTAAGTGGCGTTTTGATTTAATGTAAATGAAACTTTTGCCTCGTGATCAGACACGCCAGTATGGCGGGTTTTTTTCATCTTCTCTAAAACAGAAATAAATTTTTTGGTAAGCAGAGGGAGGTATCTAGGTTTATTATATGGAAACCATGTAGGGGTTAAGCGTGTTGTAGTGCCAGTAGTGTTCTTGGAATTAATTTTTTGATACAAATGGGTGTCCGACTGATCAGGAACCTTTCCCATTGAACCCCATGTTACAATGAACCTGATTTATGATATTTTGATTTGGAATTGGGTTTCCAGGAACCTAACCCCATTGCAAATAGAGGTTTGCCTGTACGAATGTAAGTAGTATGGGTGACTTAAGTTTCTCATATAGTAGTGCACTATGGTAGTATATATTGCTATTCACCATTTTTCTAATTCGCACCTTTCCTTGGAACCTAACCCCTGCAACTAACAAGGGTTTACTGTACAGTATATGCCTACCATACTTAACAATGCAATAACCCATTGAGTGGTAGGGGTTTTACTCCTTTAAGGCCAACTCACACCAAAATCTACACTACATACACATGTCTTATGTGTCTTTGAATTGTTGCAATGGTCTTTAAATTAGGTAACTCACATTGGCATGTGGCATGCATAGCATTTCTGCCAGTGTGAGTTACCACAGCAGCAATTCAAAGATGTGTAACACACATGTAGTTTTTAGTGTGAGATGACCTTAAAGGGTTAATCAAGATAGGTTTTAATTCTATAGGTTCGGTCTAATGTGACGTAATTAAAGCCTGAATCTTCAAAAGGCAAACAGCCCTGCCATGAGAATAAAAGAAAGGCCATCTTGCATATCAAAATTACCCATAATTGTATTGTTTATAATATTGTTTGAATTTAAACAAAATCTTGTCCTTCTAATGAATGTAAATATCCTCAATACAAGATCATTATGGCTCCTTTAATGCCCTAGTACAGTATATGCATTATGGGGTTATAAACACAATTACTTATTTCTATTCCAAACAATTACCACAATGGTACCCAGTACTTACCTGAAGGCCAAAAGCTCCTAGTTCCTTCAGCCCCTCAAGTGTTTGGTCATCCACCTTCTCCATGGCATCATTCTTTGCTGCATCATTACACTCCTACAACATGTTTTCAGAAACTATATAAATGCAACTGAAGATACAAGTAATGTTTTACTACAGTACAGGGGTCCCCGACTTACAAAATCCCGCCAAAACGAACGAGGTTAAACTTTAAATTCCCAGTATTTTATTTACCTGATGACTTATTTTTTTACTTTCATTTATTTTTAGTACAGTACTGTATTTTGTCATTCTATTTCTTCTTTTCCCTTAAAAAGAGTGATTTTAGATGTATATAAGGACTTAGGCCATGATATAGTGGGATTTTAAACATTGTTCTGTATGTACAGTATGCGCATCGCATGTGTTTCAACTTTACGTACATTTTAGACTTAAGAACATCCTCAGGAACGGAACCCGTTCATAACCCAGGGACCCCTGTATATCTAATAAGAAATATCTATACTATGTTCACTCCAAGCTTGCAACTGGGCCCAATCAATGGTCGAGTCAGGTAGGTGAAAATTTCCAAGGATGGTGAAACAACACCAAATGCCGCAGATTATTTTTAACTTTTACCTTTTCACTTAAGATATCTATGTTATAACATTTTAATTTTTACTTCCTGGCTTCGGATATCAATCTAGAATAACACTTAATTGCTAATATTGCTGTACTTGCAATTGCAAAATACAGTAGGCTCGGGATATATCACAAGATAGGGTCCAAGGATGCTTGTTATACACTAAATCGTGATATATAATTACATGTAATCAATGGGGAAAATAGAGTTAGGTTCTGGAGGCCAATAAAAGTGACTAAACTTGACATAAAATGGCACAGTCTAAAGTTAGCAGAATATAAATTACATTGCTGGAATCCTTGCAAGACAGCAAATAATTTGAATATAGACATCATATATTTTGCACAAGACAAAAAATTTAGTCATACCGGTATGTACTAATTAAGTACTAAAATTTTTATGTCTATTGCAAACTATAGCATGTTTATATTCAAATTAATCATTATCTTACAAGAATTCCAGCAATGCAAATTATATTCTCTTAAAACAATTCATTGACATTTTATAAGAGAAAAACATAAACTCCCCCTATATGACAGATAAATAAATACCACTAGGTAACCATTGTCTGGCTCCGGCCCAGCTGTCATAATATATCAACTCCCCTCTGACTTCCAGTAAGAGTAGAGTGACTGTGGTTTTAGGCTTAAAGTTTTGATCTTGTACAATGTTACAGAGTAAAGTTAGCAGAATATAAATTGCAATGTTGGAATCCTTGCAAGACTGTGAATAATTTGAATGCAGACATCATATATTTTGCACAAGAGATAAAAATTTTAGCCCTTTGTAATAAAATTACAAATTAAAATTAAAATTTGTATGTCTATTGCAAACTATAGCATGTTTATATTCAAACTTATCACTTAAAGTCACTCTTAAGGACAGATAAATAAATAAGCACTAGACCTTGGCATCAACTGTCAAACATATCACCTCACCTCCCTCTCTCTCCCCCATCTTCCTAGCCAGGGTTGGGTAGTTTTAGGCTTACAGTTGTTATCTTATATAATATAACAGACTAAAATTAGGAGAATATAATTTGCATTGCTGGAATCCTTGCAAGACAGCAAATAATTTGAATATAAACATCATATATTTTGCATAGGGAGATAAAAATTAATTACCTGTATTGTATCACACACAGTTGTGATTTATGAGTTCTAGTGTATATATGTAGTACATATATAGTGATTTAAGGGCGATTTAGAAGTGTTTCTGACTTACTGTATATTGGAAATTTTTGATAATTTTGGTAGTGGTGATAAATTTGAAATATTTCCTGCACAATTTAGGAAAATGTCGAGAATTTTGGTAGCTGCGATATAAAAAAAAATCTTTATATAAAGTCGCTATATATCCCTGCTGCCATATGGCATCACGAAAATTGTGACCAAGTCCCAAGTTGCTGATCTGACTTTCTGCTTCATTTACACACAATTGCAGGGTCTCAATTGTTTCTCTTACCATTGACAACACAACATACATATATCATTTCTCACTTTTGATCTTTTTTTCATTTTTGTATTTATAGTTCTTTATTATTAAAATTATTATTATTATTACAGTTACTGTATTATTGTCATCATTATTTTATTATTTTATTTTGTTTGTTTTATCATAAATTTCATTTATTATGAATTATTATGACTATTATTTATTATTATTATTATTATTATTATTATTACATTTTGGCCCCCCAGGCCCCCATGTGGGTCAGTGACCTGTGTCCGGGTGGGCTAATCCCAAAAAAAAAAAAAAATACAGGGGGCCCCCAAATTCGTGGATTTTTATTTCACGGCCCTCTATTATTTGCTGATGACACTCTGAATGTACCCAAGAATGTCTATGGGTAGTTTTAAAGTTGTCAGCATTTTTGCAGCTGGGACGGAGTCATTCATTCTAGAGACAGTAATTTCCTTTACCTGTATTGTAAATATGTGTGAGTGTGTGTGGACACACACACACACACACAAAACACATATTTACAGTACAGGTAAAAGAAATAATTGTCCTAAGGGCAAACACATAAAGGCCATTTTGAGAACCTAACCTAACTCTTTCTGGCAGTCACTCGGCTGCATTGATAAAATTTCCTCTAGACTCTAGTTGTAAAGAAGGATTATAAGTAAAAAAAACTGTTTATAATGTAATTCAGTTAAGCTAAGTGATGTGATGGATTAGAATTTACAGTCATGGATTTTTTAGTATAAAGGAATAACCTAAGAAAGAGTCAAATGGAGACAACTGAATCTCAAAATTTATATTCAAAATTAAAAAATAGTTAAAATACTTTTAAATTTAACTGTTCTCACATAAACTATATATTGTATCAGATTTTTGTGTACTAAAGAACCCACCTCAAAGAACTTCTCAGTAGGGTCCACCAACATCTCCAGAGTCTCTTTCTGCTCATCACTGAGCACAGAAGGGTAGGGGATTGCTTGTTCTGTCATGGCTGCTCCACGGAAAATGTTCATCACAAATGATTTGTTCATTTCCACTTTCTTGGACATCTTGTGTGCCTTCTGGGCCTCTCTCTCTGAAGCTGCTGGCTGGGCTGCTGTTGACTGCAGCCTAAAAATTATAAAGTCATGTAAAAGATACCACAATTATGTAAAACATTAATGCCAAATCATATTTTAGTCCTTTCACAAGTAAATTAGTTGATCTACAAACCCTTCACACTAAGAAACTACAGTAAATATGTAAACCAAGAATTTACATGCTCATGTACAGTATTCCTAATCATATGGTGTATGGAAACGTCACATTTCCACAGTTCTCAAGTTACTTACTCAACACAAAAAAGATAAAAGTAAATTATAGCGTGCCCTTACAATTAGTGGATTTTTAATTCACGGGCTTCGATTATTCGCAGATGTCTGCTAGTAGTTTTAAAGATGGCAGCATTTTCATGGCCGGGACGGGGAGCCTGTGAGTTTCATGGCATCCCGCAAAGTGTCTCTCTTGTCCCAGGTGGCTTGGCCATGTGTGCTCACTACACCTCAGTAACAGTCCGGTTTAAACACTTGTCCATTTCACGCGTGTGCTACACTACTCGGAGAGGAGCTGTATATACTGGAATCAAGTAGTCAATCATATATAGTAACATTATACTAACCCAACTCTGATCAGAGCAGCTGTGTGGTTTGTTTATATTTGGGTCAAAAGAATTACCAACAGGATGTGAAACCCGTATTTTTGGCTGTGATGTTTTGTGTTGCCACGATCGGCCACCAGGGTGTAGCACCATCACTATTGTTTTGACGTCATCGACTCATTGCAAATGGCTGACAGGCGGCTGAACTTTCTGTTAACATTTCTTTACTCTTTCTAGGGGCAGTTTTCATTTAGATAATAAACAAATGTTTCTTAAAGGTAATACAGTCCTTAAATAATGTAAGACATGTATCTGGTGTGGGTTACATATGCTGGGGAAAAAGGTACAGTGAGATGCTGTGAGCTTCCCTCGGCCGTTAAGCCAACGTAAGCCATTATTTACGTCATCGGCAAATTTGTCACAAGTTTGTGATAATAGATTGTGATAATTTGGCTTGTTTTTCAGTATTTTATTATGAGTAATAGTATTAGTAACACAATTTTTGTGCTTAGTGGACTACTGCTTGTCCCAGACAACCTAGCTAGGCACTTCCGCCTACGGCGCTCGGCCTCCCATCCATAATACGGGCGCATTAAACGCAGGGTAAAGTGGGATACATTGAAAAAACTAAAAATGTATCTTATACGCCGGCAAATACTGTACCTGTATCTTTCAGGAGGGGCGGATGAATTTTGAAATGAACAATCCAGTTGTCTCGCTAGGGCTGGTAGGCATGATTGGGAGACATTTCCTACCTACTGTATTATGGTAGGCCTAATTTAGTTACACTGTTTCATTCAAAATATAAAATTAGTTCGTTGCCATATGATTGGTGAATAATAGTACAGTATACCTCATGGGCCTTAATCTAAACCCTTCGTTTGTGGTGGTGTAATTTTTGTTTCGGATACAAATTGTAAATACAGTGGTCCCTCGGTTAACAAACTCAATTCGTCCCAGGGGATCGTTCGTTAACCGAAAATTTCGTTAACTGAAACCATTGTTTCAATGGGATATTGGGTAATTGGTTCCATTTCACAGAAAAGTACATACAAAGTAAAGCCAAAAATGCATAAAGTCAGAAACACTCCTAAAATTCCCCTAAATCACTATATATATACTGTACGTACATATACACTGTCACTCTTAAATCACTACTGTAATGTGATACAGGTGATTAATTTTTATCTCTTGTGCAAAATATATGACGTTTATATTCAAATTATTCGCTGTCTTGCAAGGATTCCAGCCTAAAATCCTGGCTGGGCAGATGGGGGAGAGGGAGGGGAGCGGGAGGTGAGGTGGTACGGTTTTGACAGTTGGCCCCGAGAGGTCTAGTGAAGTATTTATTTGTCCTCGAGATCGAGTTTTTGTTATTTGCTTATAAAATTTCATAGGAGTGACCGGGGAGAATATAATTTACATTGCTGGAATTCTTATACGATAGTGATTAATTTGAATATAAACAAGCTATTATTTGCACTAGAGGTAGAAACTTGGTTAAATTCAATAGTAATAAAACACAGTATTTACCAATGACACTTTCCAAATTAGATTAACTCCCACCAATCACATTTCAGGATGCAATCATTCTGCCAATTTCTAAAATAGATAGCTAGGCCTTACCATTTCCTCTAATATGTCATGGAAGCCACACATCTACATTGCTAAAACTGCCTCCCTAAAACTGGGAGTGCTGTACAAATGCCATAGCTATTATGCACCGAAGCAGTTGCTTCAAGTTTATAAGGGATTCATTTGTCCTAACTTGGAGTACTGCTCTCATATCTGGGGTGGCGCTTCTTCTGTCCAACTGTTAGATAAGTGGAATCAAAGGCATCTCTTCTTATTAACCCTCCTCCTTTAGTTGATAATCTCTCTTCCCTTTCTCTTCACCGCAATGTTGCTTCACTCTCTCTCTTTTACAGGTACCTTAATGGGCAATGTTTGGTGAATTTGGCATCCTGTGTACCGCCAGCAAGGCCATGGGCTCGTAACACTCGTCTTGCCCGCAGTACCCATCGTTTCTGTGCGAATGTCGGTCACACTAGAATAGCCCATTATAGTACATCCTTCTTTCCTCACACAGCCAAACTGTGGAATGCTCTGCCTTCTTATGTGTTTCCATACTTATACAATCCGTCTCACTTAAAAAAGCTGGTTTTCCGGCATCTTCGTGGTGTACATTAATTGAATATTTTTATCTTCTATTTTTAATTTCTTTTCACTTTTATTTTTTCGCCCCCTGGGCCCCGTTGTGGGTCAATGACCTGAGCCTGGGTAGGCAATTCCCCGTAAAAAAAAAAAATTTTATATATATATATATATATATATATATATATATATATATATATATATATATATATATATATATATATATATATATATATATATATATATATATATATATATATATATATATATATATATATATATATATATATATATATATATATATATATATATATATATGTAGTCCTCGGCAACAGCACACGTCCAGCAGGTTGCTCGTTAACCGAAAAACTCGTTAACCGAAACCATTGTTTCAATGGGTTTTTGGGTAATTGGTTCCAGCTCACCGAAAATAGCCTAAATTCAACAAAAAAGGTAGAAAAGTACACTTACTTTGAGGTGTGTATGTAGAAGGCTCCTGGATGATGATGATGATGATGATGATGGGAATTAAAATGGGGGTGGAGAAGGAAGAAGAGAAGGCATTGGGGTGGAAGAGAAGTCACCCCATGGCACCATTTCACCCATAAAATTTTAGTTCTCTTGGTGTATTTCAAGATTATTTTCTTTAAATCAACACTGCACTGCATTATATATTGTCAATATGTAAAATATATTTCAAAATGACCAATAATTTGCTTGGAAACACAGAAAAAAAAGCATTTAGTTGAAGAGAGTCTCAAGTAAGATGTTACCTCCACTGAAAACAGAGAGAGGCTAACGCCTGTCTGGTGTGTTAACAGGCTGGATGGCACGCCAGAAACTAGTTTCTTTACCTTCAATTATGTTCAATAATTGTAAAAATGACTAAAAAAGTTAATATTAAACTTTTAAAATTATTGAATAGTATAAACTTCTTGATATTTACTAAAATAGTAAGGCATTTAAGCCCTAAAACCGATTACTGTATTGGCGGACTAATACTACAGCTGGTGGACCGCCAAATGCAAGCGAAAACATGTTGAAGTCGGCTCGTAAAAAACTCGTTAATCGAGGGATTACTCGTTAACCGAAGTTAAGAATCTTATGGAAGGTAAATCGTTAACCGAAATCTCGTTAACCGAGGCGATCGTTAACCGAGGGACTGTATATATATATATATATATATATATATATATATATATATATATATATATATATATATATATATATATCGCCTTTTATTCACATATGTCTTAATAAAGACGATAGCTATACGCTGTTTCCATTTTCCCGTGATTTTATCAAGATTTATCTTATCCACGTTTTCATTGTGTGATTTACATGAAATATATATATATATATATATATATATATATATATATATATATATATATATATATATATATATATATATATATATATATATATATATATATATATATATATATATATATATATATATATATATATATATATATATATATATATATATATATACTGATAGCCTGGTACAACTAAGGCTACCGGTATGCATTTGGCTGAAAATTGTCAAGGCCAACAACAACATTGACAAAAATATCTAAAGCAGAGCACATTACAGTATAGTACAATACTGTATCAAAAACTGTATGCCAGACCAAGAGAGGGATGTACTGTAGTATGATAAGAACATGAAAAGAAGGAAAGAAGCCATTAGTGTAAGAAAATTCATCAGTTGTACTGCACACAATAAATGGTTCCAGAGTAATTGCACATTTAGTGCTTGGTCTATATGTATTTCATGTTACTTATTGAGGATTTAGCAATATAATTCAAAGAAACTATACTGTATCTATCATGAAGAAAGCTCAGTCTTCATTTCTGTAACTTTCTACAATATCCAATGAAATTATTGTGAAAATATAAAGGACTTTTCTACACCCATGTGCCAGCAGTAACAAAACTTATATACACTACTATATACAGTGGGTACAGGTATACTGTACTATCATTTCAGATATGTACACAATTTGGCAGTCTCACTTGGCAATATGACAAAATGAACCTTATGCTGACAACTCAAGCTTGTGATGCCATGCCCCACATGGCTGGCAGCCAAGCACACCTATGTACAGTATCATGTGCCAGAAATATCGGTCTTGCTTGTAAATGTCCTCCAGCTATTTGAAGAATTGAAACAATCATATCTTAATGCTATGCTTAGCTTATCCCATCACCCCTGGCCAAACATTAGTACTGTACTGTATAATACTAGTGTATAAAATTAATAAACACAGTACCCTGTACGTATGTAGACAGGTGAACATAGTCTAGGGACAGTGGGAAGAGCAGGTGTAGAAATACGCCAAGCCATCGAAGCCAAATAAAAAGATGTGTTGTTTACAAGTGTTTCAAATTACATATACAGTATTGAAAAATGGGTAAATATAACTTAACATGTAAACAAAGACCGCAGATGCTCCTGGACAGCAGACGATGTGAACCAAAACATATACGCATGGGAGATCCGACAGTGCCATAATTTCTTCACTTACAAAGGACGTAGATGTGAAATTACTGCCACATGATCAGTGTTCGCAGTATCTTTACCCTGTTATTCCCTCTTCTTTCATGCCCTGTCCAATAAAAAGTAATTTATGATTGAAGGATAAGTTAAAAAGTTTAAAAATACTACAATGTTGTTGCTTCGACCTTATTGCTCAGTATCATCCAAACAACATTTGAAAATTTGGTGCATTTCCGTAAAGTCCTTCTGGAGTTACAGGTTTCCTCCACCTTTACCAAATAATACCCAGAAAAACCCTACCCAACCAAACCAAATCTAGCCTAAATTCGCTAGATGGCCGAAACGATAATACCCATAAATCACCTGTAGTGGGCAGGCCATTAAGAATGAGGGAAATTGTACTATGGTAAAACACAGTCTGAGAACAGTATCTACTCTACTACCATCAAAAGTTCTTCAGGTAAAGGTGTAGATAATGGCTACCACCAGAAGTTGTTCATTGATTTTCTTTATTTTTTGCTGTACTTATTGTTTTGATAATGTTAAGTACATTAAAAGAAACGACAACTTTCTATTATGATACAAGTATGGTAAATTTGCACTTCCACCTCTCCATCTGTTAGAAAGTGAAAAATATATTTTTCTAGTGTATTTGTGTGTATTTCGACCGAATATGACCTTAATTTCCGTCGGAAATTGGCAGTTTTTTTATAAAGACTTTTTAAAAAAAAATTAATTGCTAAGCGAATAAAATATACACCGAAACACACTAGAAAAACCTAACCCAACCTAACCTGACCTAACTGACTCACAATATGATGGAATCACCTATTTCTTACTTTAGTTGGCCTGGAGACCAGGTTCTTGTTCGTCGTTGAATTCTGAGATTCTTACGCAACGCCACATATGTTGGTCCTTGCGATATTTACATTCAGTCTTGCTCTTAGTACACTTTACTGAAGTTGGAAGAACACCATGCGATCGAAAAAATGCTATAGTTTCTTCGTTTTTTCCCAAAAACTTGTAATCAGCTCCATATAATTTAAGTGACAACCGTCGCAGAATTCCATGGTCGGAACTGAACTTGAATTTTGAAATATGAGACCCAAAATAAAAATCGATTTTGATTGGTCCAAAATATACCGTGAATTAAACCCCAAATCACTTTAATTGGTTGCAAAAAAAAAAACGCTTTTGATTGGTCATGTGACGTGTACGGGAACGCATGCGCATGATGATTTATGAAGGAGACACGCAGTGTGGGAGCTGAGGCAGGCGATAATGGAGGAAGATTACTGGAAGAAAATAGAGAAAATTTTGGATAAGCTATCTCCGTTAATATACATTCCCGGAGGTAAAGTAATAGATGAAAATGATCTTATAATTAGACGTCTTATTAGAATAAGATAATAGATTAGTGGTAGGAAGTGGGAATATTTAAATGCAATAATACCCTAAGTATTTTTTTATTTTTTTTTTACTCTATCCCACTTCACAATTCTCCTCACGGCGCCTATTTTGTTGCTAACCTCGGTGAATCCCTCAAGAGACGTTTCCTAATTATGGTGAATGCTTACATGATTTCCTCCTTGCCATTGCTAATGTATATGAACCTCAGTATTAAAGTAAGTTGTTTAACACATAAATTAAGACAGTACATGTAATGCATAGAACCTAATAGAACCTGACCTAACATACCCAACCTATGGGTATGTTAGGTCAGGTTCTATTAGATTTCATGCATTGTCGTTTCCATTTTTGTTTTATATCATATTAGTGTGTAGAAAAAAATTCAACTAATTCGAACAATTCCTTCTGGTGGTGGTCGTTATCTACACCTATACTGTTCTTCGATTTCGTTCATTTTTTCCACCACAGATTTTCTTATTATAGTAAGTATTTTAAAAATGGCGACATTTACTAGAACCTAATATGTACATCAAAGGTATTTCCTCTAAATGGAAGAAAACTTTAAGCAAGATATAAACAAGAGTGAAAGTTTCGTGTCCCAAGGCCAGTTCATCACCTGATTCAGATATGTTATCTACGTAAATCATTTTACGTTTCACCAACTATTAATAATTGTACGAAATCTTATGTTTTTATGATTTCACATACCTAGATGCAGCTGGTGAAATTTCCTTGACCAACCCAGGCCTATTAAGGGCCCACAGAAATTTACTGGCACGTATCATTTTGTAAGGTGTCACACTATCACACTTGGCCTCCTCAACTGCTGTGCTGCTGTGCTGGTGTTGTATAACTTGTGTTGTGGGTTTCCTTCATGGCGAGAGTAATGCTTCATTTTATTCATTTCCTTTTGACACTTTAACTACAAATAAAACTTTCATATGATTTTTAAAATGGAATAAAGAGCTTTGGTATACATTGTCTTGAAATGCGGAGTTCTAGTCAAATAAAAAAAATCAGGTTATCTATTCTAGAGGGTTTCATAATTTGTTCATGTGTCTGGTTGATGTAGCTTAGGTCATAAAGGTGCTCAAGTTCTCAATCCACTGTCTAGGGGCAGCATGCAGTCCTCGGCAAACAGTAGAAATATAATTAATAATACTGCATATTTTATATATATCAAACATAAACAAATACTATTGTGACAGTAATAAGTATTGCACACCTCTATGATCCCTTCTTTAGGTTTACAATATATGGTTCCTAATTATTAATCAACGTTCTTAATGTGTCTATTATTTACTAAGGTTCATTTACATTAAGGTCAAAGTGCGGCCCTTATCACACAGTTTTTTCTTTTTTTTCTTTTACTTCTACAGTTGCCTTCTCACACAAAAAGGTTGAGCTTCACTACAGCCATGTTAGAATATGTTCTTAAGTTAATGGTAGTAGATTGTAATAATAATTAAATTTATTCAGTAAAATTATCATTCAGGTTTACAATTGGATAAATTTACTTCATATGACCTACATTTAATGCATTACTCTTGCCATGAAATATAAATAAGATCTTTCGTATACCCAATATAACCTTCATGATTTTAATTTGAAAATCAGTAAAGAGACATTAGGTAAAATATTATTACAGATAAAATATAAAAATTGAAAAATCATTGACACCATATAGGAATACATCTATTACACATGAACGATTCTGTTTTGACAGTAGTAGTACAAAGTGTAAACAGTAACACACACGACACAAGAACAATGAGTTATTGTGTGCATGTCTTATATGATGGATATTCGAAAATGGAGAATGGGAAAATGAGAGCTAATTGCTCCTGTACTCTGATTAAAGGCCCAAATAATATGATAGTTGATACTATGACGGCTTGGGATAAGGAAAAGTTACTGTCAGGTATAAGGAAAGTAATTTTGTGTGTAATTTTACTTTTTATTTGTATCCTCTTCACCACTGATCGGCTCGTTAGTCGCTTGGGCGATCGGTTACGTCTCTGTTGTGTACTGTTGGCAAGTACTGGGCATGCTCTGGCTCCTGAATGCAAGGTAGGTGTTGCAGATACCTACCTACCTTGCCTGAATGTATCTGAACCTGTTCCAGTGCTTATCCAGTCTGGTCTTGAAAGAACTCACACTCGGCGCCGTCACATCACTCTGGCAGATAGTTCCAAGACTTCGCAACTCCCACCCCGAAAAAGTTAACCCTTACAGTTTTCTGGGCTTGCGGCTTCTTCAACCTTGAGCTGTGACCCCTTGTGGGGCGAGCGTCCGCCAGCTCCAGGTAAGGGCACTCGACTGAGTAGTGCCCTTTGAGATGTTTATACACCTCAATTAGGTCTCCCCTTGCCCGTCTGTAGTATAACTTTTACTTTTATCCTCTTCGTCACTGATCGGCTTGTTAGCCGCTTGGGCGATCGGTCACGTCTCTTTTCATTTATATTCTTCACCAAAAGATCGGCTCGCTAGCCGCCCGGGCGATCGGTCACGTCTCTGTCACGCACTGTTGGCAAATACTGGGCATGCACCGGCTCCTGAATGTACCTGAACCCGCTCCAGTGTTGGTCAAGTCTTCTCTTGAAAGAGCTCACACTCGGTGCCGTCACAACACACTCTGGTAGATTGTTCCAAGAGTTTACAACCCTCACTCCGAAAAAGTTTGCCCTCACGGTTTTCTGGACTTGCGGCTTCTTCAATCTTGAGCTGTGACCCCTTGTGGGGCGAGCGTCCGCCAGCTCCAAGTAAGGACACTCAACTGAGTAGTGCCCCCTGAGATGCTTATAAACCTCAACTAGGTCCCCCCTTGCCCGTCTGTAGTATAAGCTAGGCAAGTTCAGGCGCTCCAATCTCTCAGGGTAGCTGAGGTGCCGAAGTGCAGGCACCAGTTTGGTGGCCCTCCTTTGAACATTTTCAACCAACTGACAGTCCCTAGCATATCTCGGGGACCAGATGGGGTGACAGTACTCCAGATGGGGAAGCACTTCACTCCTGAAGATCGTCACGAGGGACGGACCGTCTAGATATCTGAACGACCTTCTTATAAGACCCAATAATTTATTTGCCTGATTTACCTTCTTCTCACAATGGCCCGAGAACTTCAGCTCATTGTCAACATACACACCTAGGTCCTTCTCACACACAGTCTCAACTAGTACATTTTCTTCATCCCGTTGGGACATATGGTACGCCTCCTTACCGTTGGTACGCCCCAGGTGCATCCTCTTACACTTCGTGACATTGAATCTCAGCAGCCATTCCTTCGACCATTCCTGGAGCCCACAGAGGTCCTTCTGCAGCTCTTCACAGTCCGCTTGGTTCTTAATTTCCCGAAATAACTTGCCATCATCGGCAAACATTTGTATGGAGGAGTGTACAACGTCAGGCATATCATTTATGAAACAAACAAACAACAGCGGGCCCAATACACTACCCTGCGGTACCCCACTTGTTACAGGTACAGATGACGATTTCGTGCCATTAATCACCACACATTGCTTGCGGTCATGTAGAAAGTCTTCTATCCACGCTAGGACATTTCCCCGAATTCCGTACCCTTCCAGTTTGATTTTCAGCCTTTCGTGGGGTACACTGTCGAAAGCCTTGGCAAAATCTAGGTAAATATTGTCGATATTACCACCCCGTTCTAGAATATGGGTCCAAATATCCAATACCTTGAGCAATTGTGTCAAGCAAGAGCGCCCCGGCATAAAACCGTGTTGGCAATCTTTTACAAGGTTGTTTCGTAGTAGATGTTCCATCGCTGCATCTCTGATAATACTCTCAAGTACTTTACATATTATGCTGGTCAGGCTCACCGGTCTATAGTTGTTCGTGGAGTGACTATCGCCCTTCTTGAAGATAGGACTCACATAAGCCACTTTCCATTCACTGGGGACCATTTGTTCATCCAGGCATTTACAAAACAGAATCTTCAGGGGCTCTGCAAGCTCGTTGCACAGCTCTCTTAGCACTCTAGGATGCACCATGTCAGGTCCAGGACTCTTATGGACCTTTAGCCTGGACAGTTTATTTCTAATACCCTCTAGGCAAGTTCAGGCGCTCTAATCTCTCAGGGTAGCTGAGGTGCCTTAGTGCAGTCACCGGTCTGGTGGCCCTCCTTGGGACATTTTCAATCAACTGACAGTCCCTACCATATCTCAGGGACCAGACGGGGTGACAGTACTCCAGATGGGGAAGCACTTCGCTCTTGAAGATCATTACGAGGGATATCTGAATGACCTTCTTATAAGACCTAATGATTTAGTTGCCTGATTTACCTTTTTCTCGCAATGGGCCGAAAACTTCAGCTCATTGTCAACATACACACCTAGGTTCCAGGTTCGACCTCTTACACTTCGTGACATTGAATCTTAGCAGCCATTTCTTCGACCATTCTTGGAGTTCACAGATATCCTTCTGCAGCTCTTCACAGTCTGGTTGGTTCTTAATTTCCCGAAATAACTTGGCGTCATCCGCAAACATTTGAATGGAGGAATGTACAGTGTCAGGCATGTCATTTATGAAACAAATAAATACCTGCTCTGTGGTACCCTGCTTGTGACAGGTACACATGATGAATTTGTGCCATTAATCACCACACACTGCTTGCGGTCATGTAGAAAGTCCATGCTAGGATATTTCCCCAAATCCCATGATGGCATTATGAATTTATCCTTAACAATGTACAGTCAAAGAAAAAAAGGTAAATTTTTATGTTATTTCTCGTTTCGGTAATCCAGCGAATTTTAGTAGGTTAGAATAGGTTAGGTTTGGTTAGGTTGCTTTTGAGAAACTGCTGTCACTGATTTGGTAAAAATTCGTCCATTGGCTGTCTGCAGGTTCCTTCCATGTTTACCCGAGGCAATACTCCTCACTTAGACCCTGTTGTCTGAAACGATAATTTTACGAGCACTACCATCTTAGAAATTTTATCTTTGCAATCAATAGTTTAGAAGTTTTGACAATTCTAAGACTCTTTTCTTCTGTGGTGTTTCCCTTGCAAATGACTTAACCTCCGTCCTAACTGGAAAGCTTTGCCCCCCCAGAATCCTCTGGCACATATAAGTCATTTGCAAGGGGAAAGTCATAGAATAAAAGTGTCTTAGAATTTTCAAAACTGCCTATAGTGAAGATAAAATTTCTAAGATTCACGTATTGTCCAAAAGTAGAATAATACTGAAAAGTGTAGTGTTACATTTACCGTACCTTATGTTCTGAAAACATGACAAAGTATTTGGGTTAAATTCTCCGTTCAGACTCGAACCTCGAAGCTTTGCTGTCAAATTTCCCAAATTCTCTGTCCTGTGTTTCAGAACATTAGGTACGGTAAGTGTAACACGGCCTTTTTTCTTTGACTGTACATTGTCAAAGATAAATTCATAGTGCCATCATGCCATTTCACTATTTGACTTACTATTCTCAAGATGGTTTGCATCAACAAATGGCATCATATTGCCAAATGCTGCTATTACCAATGTGTAAACACCCAATGGCATAGAGGGAATTTTTTTTATTATTTGTGACTTTCTTGTACATACCTGTACCTCAATAATAAATGGAATTACTGTACTTTTCTTCTCATGTATGAAGTGAGGTGAAATTCGGAAGTGTAAGTTTAACTGGGCATCTCCAAGATTAAATTTTGAATATACAATTATCCTGTACTGTATGTTCTAGTTAGCTTATTGTCATAAATATTAACTGTTGAGTTTTTTCTTATGGTATTGATTTTAGGATCCACATGTAAATTATGGTTCCTAAAGTTACTTACCTAGGCTTTTCTCTTCAGGTCTTGACTCCAGTGGAGTAAGCTGTGATGATATTGCTTATGCTGTTGGAACTCATGGTCATTCAGATCATCTTGGCAACCTTAATCTCTTCACCAAGGCTAAACATATTGTTGGCTTTACAGTTTCATATGGTGATGAATTCTTCATTCATCCCTTTGAGACAGGTTTGTTATACATATTACTTACTAAATGTCATGGTGTATTTCCTAATTAAATATGACTGCAAGAGCAATACAGTATTGGTGATTAGATTTGATTGTTAGAATTCTGCACTTTGATTTCAGGGGAAGCATTCAAGATTGATGATTCCCTTCAAGTGATCCCCACCCCGGGCCACACCTCAGCTGATGTTAGTGTTGTAGTTAAAACAAAGGACCTTGGCACTGTTGTGGTTGCAGGTTAGAAATTTAACCATTGATGTCTACTGATGTTTATTGTCTGTTATATAGAACTTAGGAAATTGTTTCTTGTATTTTAAGTTTTTTCTTTTTCATAGGTGACCTCTTTGAACGAGAAGAGGATATTGCAGATCCATCTCTCTGGAAATACATTGCAGGAAGTGAGGATCCAGAGTCACAGGAAAAACATAGGAATGAAGTCCTTCTTTTAGCAGATTATATTATCCCAGGTCATGGCCCAATGTTTAAGGTAACCAGCCTTATGAAGGAGACAGCCCTGGGATCAGCAGCTTGTAATGATAAGTAACAGTATTGCAAACAAATGTAGGTGTTAGCCAAACCTTTGCCAAATAGGTCTTTGATAATACATACCGGGGTATACAAAAAAATGCTTGCTGTGCATTAGTGTCTCAGAGCCCTCAGAAGTTGTCCTAAAAAATACACCAATCTAGTAACTTTTACAGCAACTATGAACAGATGGGCAGGTAAATGAAGGGGTATCAATCTTTAGTTTCTTTTTTATTTCACTTTTATGTTCTTACAGGTGCAGGAAGCCAGTACAGTACAGTACTGTATATACAGTATGTACATCTAAACCTTCCAGTTTGATGTGTACTGTACTGGAATTTCAGTTAACTGAATACCCTGTATAGGATTTTCAGTTGTTTTAGATATTGTTAGTTTTAAGTACTGTAGCTCAGTATTTAATGAATCCTACTTATTGTTGACACCATATACCTCATTATAATCCAGAAGATACTCAATTATTTTTTTTCTCTTGTAGTAAATGTACTTATCAGGTGCCTTTTAATGGAGCTGCAGCCCTTAAAAGGTTCAGCCTTGTCATATTGTTGCTGTGTAACTTGTCTTTAAGTTCTGGGTAAAGAAATTTTTTAATTTCTGTTCAGTGCTTGTTTTAATTACAGTACGTATACCCTTTTCTGTGAAACACTATTGAAGTACAGTACATTTATGTGTAGAACACACACATTAAACTTGTTAAAGTTAATCTCAAATTAGCATATTTGTACAGCCAGATTTCTTATTCTTTTGTTGAAAAATTTAAACTACCTAAGACTTTCATATGATGATAATGTTATCAGTTCTTATTAATTCTAGAATTTCTTTTGAAATTGAAGAAAAGATTTCCCGCAAGCATAACCCAAAACACTGGGAGATGTGGATGTAGTGGCGACATAGTGCATGAGAGAGAGAGAGAGAGAGAGTAAATTGGACAATGATTGGATATGAAATACCAGTATGCATAATGGCCCATAAAATTTAATGCTTATCAAAAGATTAGAGGAAGGTGTTGATCATTCAGTTGTCATCACCATTGAAATTTTACAGCCATTTTCCATACTTGCATGGGTCAACTGAGATTACCTGTTGGGAGCTCGTAATGTAATTTCTTTAAACCTCTCGTGTATTTTTCCACCTGACCAGACCACCTCACCCTACCTCTACATAAAACTTCGAAAATATAATAAAGCAGTAATATCTCCGTTAGCCGGAATCCCTCTTACCTGGAATTCTCCAATAGCCGAAATTGAAATTTGCTCGTAAATTTTCTGGAAAATTATCTCAATTCTGGGTTTGGGAACAAATTACAAGGTTGAAAATCAGGAGCATTTTCTGAAAAAAAAATAAATCTGGAAAATTTCAACAGTTTTATTTCTGGGTCTGAGAATAAATTTTCAGGGAATTCCGAACGAGTGCATCATGCTCTAACCCATCCCCATGTGTCAGGTGCATGGGTGGCCCAGCTGCTTGGATCACTTAGTTCATATTCTGCTGCCATTGTAGAAGGTTGTTCCCTCGCTAGCTGCTGTTTTTGTGTACAACTTGTGTTGTGCAGTGTACTGTACAATATTGTACCAGAACAAAATTAGCCAAGAATACAGTGTTAAAGCAGTATTAAGAATGTAAAAAGTTCTATCAGTTACATGTACTATACTGTACATTCAGTAAGTGGGAAACACAGGAGCACCTTACCATTTGTCTTTATTCAAGACCCACTAATCCCCCACCCCTACAATGGGTGACCTGACATTGCATCAGGTCAAGTTAGTAACATGACCCATTAATCTCTCACCCAACCTCAATCACAAGTGTTAAAACATGATTACAGTTATGTATTACAGTCAGCTGAGTGAAGTGTCTGCCTATTCTAGGATAAAGATGACAGGATCTGCTGGCGAGTGCAGTATATACAACATAGTAGTACAGTAGTACACATTATTTTGTTTACAGTATGGACAATATTGTATGCCTACAGCTGTTTTTGTGTAAATAAATATAGCTCCTGTGAAATGTGTCATTTAGACTCGTGGAAAATACAGTATCACTTGTCTTTGGTATAACACAGCTCCATTCACTCCCTTATCATATAATCTTTTTGGTTTTTTTAAATATATTTATTCAACCAAACTTTTAGATAAAGTATACAGGATTGCAGTATTTGGGTAAAAAATGGTGTGTCCAACTTAATTAGAACTGATTTCATTGACTCCGGTATCAATATTTCTTATTTTTTTTTGTACGAGTGAATGGAATCCCCATCATGTCAAAATATATTGTTTCAGGATTTCTTATTAGAATTATTTCATAGATATCTGTAATTTATTCAGGATCATTATGGTATCAAATTCGTCTCTCTAACCCAATTAGACATTTATAACGAATGCTGTGAGGAAGGGGGAGGGGTCCATTGGAGGGTAAATGTGACCCCCCCCCCCCCACACACACACACAAAGGTTCGCCTCTCAATGTGTGTCGGCAATTCCTGCCTCATTCATGATACAATATTATTTATATGTTATTCATTAATTAGTAAACACACATTACTGCAATAATCTGTGCTTATTAATATCTGTACCCTTTATATACAATACATTACAGTCATCAAAAATACATTTCCATATAGGCAATGGTACAAAATTCATTTCTTTTAACACAATCAGGGCAGATGCTGTGAATAAAAGTTTATACACTTTTTTGCTATCAGCGTCACACCTCAAAAATGCCTTGGCTTTCATCTTTATTCAGGACTTCTTCAGATCATAAGACCCACTAATGGGTGACCTGACATTGCATCATAAGGTCAGTAATATGAGACCACTAATACTCCACCATACCTCCACCTGGCATTGTGTCAAGTCAGGTCAGTTACATATGACCCACTAATCCCCCACAGCTCCATGGGGGTGGCAAAAACCAGTCTTCGCTGTAACACACAGCTTCGTTCACACCAGTATCATATAGATTTTTCGTTTTTAAATACAGTATGATCTCATATATCGCGCGATTTCATTTCGTGTACAGTGATACCCCGATTTACGCGGTCAATTGAACCCACGGGGTACCGCGTAAAACGAAATCCACGTAAAGTGAACAACAGAACATATGGGATTAATTCCAATAGAGACTGGCCCGACCCCCAAATTCCACTTTTTGATGGCACAAAACTACGTTGTAGTAAAAATATTATCTTAACTTTATGATGGTACGCACACACACATAATATAGAAGAGAATATCAATAATAGAATAATATACTGTACCAGGTAAAAGAAAAATCAAGGTGTAACACTTACGTCAGGTTAGGTTAGGTTAGAAAAAATAAAGGTTTAACACTTACCTAAGGTTAGGTTAGGAAAAATTAAGGTTTAACACTTACGTAAGGTTAGGAAATATCAAGGTTTAACACTTACCGGGTACGTAAGGTTAGGTTATGTTAGGAAAAATAAAGGTTAGGTTTAACACTTACGTTAGTAGAAGAGATGGGTCGGCATACGGGGATGGAGGCTGGTTCCGAAGCAGAGGGCAGATTACTGGCCCCCAGGTGAATCACCATCACTATCCACCATAGTTGTCAGGGCCTCCCTGACAAATCCCTCAAAGTCACCTTCACTGTCACTATCACTGGCTCGGGCTGGCTGTGGTGGGTTGCGAGCGAAGAACTCAGTAATGCTTTTCTGACGGCTAGTTTTGATGTTGTCTTGATACACCTTGATGTACAGCTTCTTAGCCTGAACCAGCTGGGTATGGAAGACTTCATAGCGGTCATCGTCATGGTTGTTGGAAAGGAAGAGCTTCAGTTTCTCTGCACACTCGATGGCACCCTTAACATTACTATGCGTTAACTTGTGTTCTTCTAGGGTTGACGCACCACCTGCCTCTTGACTGACGTGATAATCTTCCAATATCTCGTCGGCAGTCATTTCAGGATCTCTGATCACCTCCAGGATGTCTTCGTTGGTGGTCTCGGAGAAGCCTTCAGCTGTAATACTGTGCGCAGCTTCTCTTGCAAGGTCCAATGCCACTGTAACAGACTGAACCTCACCAGTCACAGGTTGACTCCGCCTCTCACCTGGTATACCATGCAACATATGCCTCCATGCGTGACGAATCGTAGCTACAGATAGCTGATCCCATGCCTCCACCAAGAAGTCCACAGCTTGTTTGACATTAAATTTTTTCCAAAACTGTTTGACGAGAACTTCTTGATTCACCACCTGTTGTTCCTTGTCCTCGTCGCTTTTGCTCTCGCTATCTGTGTCACTCAGCTTACGCAACTCATCTTTGGTGTTGGTACAGTCGTTCAGGAGCTTAAACTTCTTTGCAGAGTATGCAGCTTTCACATTGCATATCAACTCCTGGTCCATGGGCTGGATTAATGACGTAGTGTTGGGAGGAAGGAAGACCACATTTACGTTGGGGTGACGATCCATAAGTAGTGACGAGTGTCCTGGTGCGTTGTCAAGGAGCAACAGAATATTGAATGGAACATTCTGTTGCTCGCAGAATTTCTTCACGTCGGGAACGAAACAGTCATCAAACCAGGAGAGTGACAGAGCAGAGAACATCCACGCCTTACGTGCTGTCAGCCAGTGGACATTAATCTTGCTCATGTCCACGTTCTTGTAGGCGTGCAGCTTGCAGGCTGTGTGGATCACCGATAACTTGAGTTTACAGGTACCGGAGGCATTGGTGGTAAAGAGGACGGTGATGCGCTCCTTCTGCAACTTCCAGCCCCGAATCTTGCTGGCAGACTGGACAACGAAGGTTTTGGTAGGTAGCTTTTTCCAAAATAGACCGGATTCGTCCATGTTGAACACCTGGTCATCGGTGTACTGTCCTTCCTGCATAACCTCACGTAAGAACGGAGGAAAATCTCTAGCCACCACACGGTCAGCACTCGCTTCTTCACCACCAATGTTAATGTTGGTGATCTTGTTCCTCTTCTTAAACCTATGCAGCCAACCAGAGGAAGCATTGAAGGGTTTGGGCTCTGCAATTCCCATCTTACGTGACACTGCTGCATACAGTTCACGGGCGTACTCTTGAACGGTTCGCGTGTCGACCGCCATGTTGCGTCGCGCCTGACGAATCAAGTAACTCGCCAGCAAATTTTCAACCTTTAGCAGCACCTTGTTCTGGCAATACTTGATCATTGAAGCACCTGCAGACTTTGTGATTCTCATGTGTTCTTTTATCTTGGCTGCATCCTTCTTAATACTGTAATACGAATCGTAGATTCGTTGACTCCATGCTGGCGTGCGAGATCAGCTTGACGTGTTCCTTTCTCCAACTCTTGAATAATCTGTATTTCACTTCGTAGCTTAGGGAACGTCGTATCTTCTTTGGCTTAGGGAGGCTGGGTCCAGGTAATGCAAGGTTTTTCTCTGGGGGCGGTGGTCCGGCGGAAGCCATTTTACAGAACAATATGATACTGGTTTACACGGTGTGGCCTGGAGGGATGCAACATTTGCGGCTAGATCAAGCGTCGTCTTTCCTCCCTCCCACAGGTGGAGACGTCATATTACTTTAAACCAATCACAGCTAGCGACGGAGGGAGGTAAGGATGCGTGGCCCAATCATAGTCCGATACGTCATATGACGTCAC